TAACAATTCCTTCTTTTCTAAATTAAAACTCTTCAAAACTTCCACGTTCTAAAAAGCTTAGTTACGCTCATAAAGTAACTAACGGGAGTCAAAATTTTGCGCGAGCACTGCGCACTTAATGAAGAGGCAATACGATTCAATTTCAAAATTAATCATTTAAAACAATTTACCGAATTAATGCTCTACGCTTTAAGCCCATTCTTACATTTTTAGGATGGGAAATTTAGTGACCAAACCACAGTCGAAATCATTTTAGACCATTAAAGCGTAAAAAGAAATATTTTTTTTATATTAAAGTATTCTAAGCTGTCAACAGCTTTCTTTTCCAGCGCACTAATGCAGAGCTTGCGTGGTAGCCACATGTGAACAATGTAATGACAACGGTTACAATTTACAATGAATTGGTGTCACTTTTTCACTAACCCACATACGCAGAAGAGTGTCTTCCCATTTAAAAATTTGTATTTTCTATTTTTTCGGGCATTTTTCGTATTTATTATAAGTAGCTTCGAGTATTAGCAGTTAAATATACACTTTTGTTGTTTTTATTTTATTTATATATATATTTTTTTTTTGTTAAGACCAAAGCGTCCTAAATTTCTTGTAGCAACTTGTGTACACGCGTGCAATATAAGCAAAGCAAAGCAATTCATGTGTGTGTGCGTGTGTGAGTGTGGTGGCGATGAAAAATGAGTATTAAAGCGTCTCATAAGCGGCGAGCCATCTGACGGAAACCAGTTTCGTAGCGCACATTCGAAGTGACCACCACCTCACGCGGCGGGCTTCACCAACTTCAACATTTTCATGTTTACCAGCCTTACCGGGCGCAAACATTAATATCAACGTCACCTCAACGGCCATCACCTGCGCACTTTTCCGAAAGAAAGTGATAAGTTAGCTAGCCGTAGTACGACCGCTTTACTACGGCCGCGGCTAACAGTTTCGTTTCATTGCTATTGTTGCTGTTGCTCAAGTAGCTTTTTCTACATTCTCCACTTGGCAGCGCAAGTTTTTGATTCATTTTTATGCGCTTAATAATTGAATGCAAATTTTCTTACAATGCGCGTATGTACTCGGTATATAAATCCCGTTTGTCGGGTTGATCGGTTGTTGAATTGTTGATCGTCTATTTGCTGTTGGTGTAGGTAAGTCATGCGTTGGCTTTGTTTAGTTATGCGTGGCGGTAATAGTGGCGAAGGTGTGTGCAGTGTGTGGGATGAATGCGCAATAATAGCGTGTACAAATACAGCACTGCTTGGAATGATGGGTGCACGTAAAGTTTTGTAATTCAGTTATTATTTTTTATAAAAATGCTCGTAATCTTAAAATTAAAATCATAAACTTTTCTCAATATTTAAATACCGTATTTACTTTTATGAAAGAGCAATAGCAATTGCAAGTAAACTGAGTTTTCTTAACCTCAGCTTTATTTGGCTTATGGTTACGAAAAAAGTTTTGGCTGTTAAAACATTAATATTCAATTTTGATACCCTAAGTTCGCTACAAAGTTTATAACAACCCGAAAGAAAAGTCTGATATCAGCGTGACGAGCTGCCCCTCTGTCTATCCGTCTGTATACACGCGAACTAATCCCTCAGTTTTTGAGATATCGATCTAAAATTTTACACACAAACTTTTCTCTCCAAGAACCTACTCATATTTCGGAACCGCCGATATCGAACCACTATAACATACAGTAATTGCCATGCAAACTAACCACTCCAAACCAAGCCCTGGTATGTGACAAGATATCCCCAAAAAATTTGACATGAATTGTTGGTATATTCAAAGCTTCAATCTCCGAGTAAATCATTAAGATAAAATTACTATAGCATATAGCTGCCACTCAAACTTACCGATGGAAATCAAGACAGAGATCTTTTTATACCATTTTGTAATATAAGAGGTGCATCTCTGAAGGTTATTATTGCTTCGCTGCAGCCACAGCTAACGTTTTCTTTTTGTGTTTATACTCATGCAACATGTTGCTACAGAGTATAATAGTTTTGTTTTATCACCGAAAACCAATCGGGATACCTCTAAGTACGTCCGTGCAAGCGATAACTTGAGTAAAAATTGCGAAGTCTTTATGAAACTTGATACATAAGTTCCTTCGCGCCCACGGAGGGTTGGTATTGCAGATGGTCGGGCCATTGCCACGCCCACAAAATGCCATTAATCGAAAAACTATAAAGTGCTATAATTAAGCTCCTAATAAAGATGAAGAGGAATACAGTGGCTGGGGCATCTGTGGTTTGAAAATCTTTAAAAAGTGGGTGTGACCCCACTGCATATCTCCTAAACGATTAAAGATATAACAACCAAATTCGCTCAGCGCAAATCTCTTTGGCATCCCTACCGACCCTAAAAAAATGGGACGGGAATAACGGTTTTGTTAAAAATTATTAAAAATGCCATAAATCTATTAATAAAATTTTACACTCGAGATGGTGGAAAGTAACTTTTTAGGAGCCGATATTGTATTTGAACGATAAGCGTGACACCGTCAACATTTAAGGGAAAATCAATATCTCGGGACCTACTAGAACGACCAAAATTCGGTGGATAATATTATTATTGAAATTTCTACATTACGGTGCAAAAATGGGCGAAATTAGAGGAAAACCACGCCTACTTCCCATATAACACAATTTTAAATTCCATCTGACTATTTCACTTTCCAGTATACAAATCAAGAACCAATCAATGTATATGGATAAAACTTTGCACGAATAGTGCCTTTGAGGTCTGCCATCTTATGACCAAAAATTATTTAAATCGGACTAAAACTATTTAAGCCCTCAGATACCGAAGATGTGGACCACGGTTCCTGATGCAAACTTTTTATAGAAAATATCGGTCAATCTTTTAGATATATTATAGAAATTCGGAGTGAATCCTTTTCTGATAATAGTATGCCAAAAATTGGTTGAATCGAATCAGTAATTCCCGTAGCCCCCATACACCGAATGGTAAGGTTTTCGAACTGACTTTATACCGCATATAACGGCAAATAATATATGAGTTATCTTAATAAAATTGAGAGAGAGAGAGTTTTTCTAATAACGATGCATCTTAGGGCCTAAAATGGATAAAATCTGGTGAAAACTAATATAAGGATTTTCAAACATCTAGTGGACTTTACTCTTATATATTAGTGATGGTATATGAGGTACCTTAATGAGACTCAAAGCGCAACTTTTTCTATTAATAATACGTAGTAATGCTAAAAATAGATAAAATCGTGTCAATACTACCTCTATATCACATGGCTTTATATCTTGGTCCATAAGTAAGATATCTTAGCAAAATGAACTGAACTTTCAAAATTGGATAGTTTATATATGAAATTAGTCAACGAAATACCCAAACTCCCATGTACTACACATAATGATTTCGACGGTTATTAACCCGTATGCACCTGAAGGTATTTCTACGGATTTGATCCTGGCAAGTAGCATGAGTATGAAATATTCGGTTACACCGAAACTTAGGTCTTCCTTACTTGTTACTACTCAATTGTTCAATTGCTTTGAAAGCGGTTCCATTACTTGTTGAAATAAAGTGTTTATGGAACACAATGAATGAAGTGTGTCTGAGTTTCAGTCAATTTTTACGTATCCTTTTACCATTTGACGCGTTGAATATTGAAATCTCAACAGCATCAATCCGAAATTCCAGAAAAAAGAGCTGGTTACTAAAAAGTAAAAGTAAGAAAACCAATTCTATAACTTTCTAACAAATGTCAGAAAAACCAGTAAAGTCGAGAAAAATAGGTAGTCGATGCGTTTGTTGATATCTATCAATTTTCGCCTTACTTTTTGACTATACTTTGGGTATTTTTCCATTTCTGTTGAGTCTTAATTTCTCAACAGTTCCTCTCCACTATAATCGACATAACGGTGCATTACACATATGTACATATAGTACATACAAATTTATTCATAACTCTTTGTACTGGTACTTTTCTGTACGTAACCTCAACTGCTGATGACTCAAAAAATTGTAATTGTAATTTGGTTTAGTTGTGGGCGTTTTTGGCACACAAGCTCATCAGGCACACCAATCACGACATTTGCACACACATCATTCAACTCGCGTAAAAACTATGTATATAGTGTATAGTTAGTATGTAAATATGTATATATGTATGTAAATGTACAAAAAAAAAGATAATGGCAGCAACTAGAATTTATTCAATCACATAATAACGAGTGATGAATAGAACTTGACTGCTGCTGGTACGAGTTTTTTTGTTGGCATTAATGTTGTTGTTGTTACTATTGTTGAAATCATGAACTAATTTCGCGCTTATGCGGTTGCACACTGCGTCGCCGCCGCATTCTTCGCTTGCTAAGCTTGATTTGTCACAGTTTAATAGTTTTTTTAACACTTTGTTATTGTTATGCTGTCGTTTTCTTGCAGCATCAGCTGAAATATATTGTTTTGCACAATTGTTGTTGCAAAATAGTGATATGATCTATGGCAACTTTTTTTATATATAATATTATTATTATTGCCGTTTTGCTTTCTTTCTCGTATTCTTTTAAGCTCGTAATTCAGGTTTTCCAAGTTAATGGCACACAAGCAGCGCTAAAAACCTTTCTCCAACAACAACATAAAAAAGTCATAAAAAATAAAATATCATAACAAAACATTTGCCAACTGTTTTTGTTGGTACTTTCTCGGACTGTCTCGAAGAATTGCACAAATTTGGTGTTAAAATCTCTTTTTTTTTTAATTATTTTTAAATTGTTTTCTCCGAGTTCTTTGTTTCCTTTAAATATATATTTTTTTAAAGCCGATAATAGTACGCGCATATGAATTAACGATTTCTGCTTTTTTTTTTGAAATATCGGCGTGAAAAATCATGCTTTAAAAGGCGTAAATATTTGCGCTGAGTGTTATCTAGTCTGTCAATTTGTTAGCTGCGATCAGTGACACCTCACATCAGAGCCTCATATGGGCACGCTTACAATTTCTTTTGTTTTTGTATTTACATAGTCACTATGCGTCGTCGTGGTTCCAATACGAGCCGTTAGTTTACTAGTTAATCCTCCGTTTTCTCATTCAACGTGTGCGCAGCTCACACAACCGGCGCGCTCAAATTCACATACTCAACTGTTGAAGCCGCCGTTGATGATGCGGATTCTATGCGGCCCTCCAAAGCAGTGCGCGCTCAAACAATGCCGTCGAGCTGAACTTACCGATGCCAGTTGCTATTGCAAAAAGCAGGAAAAAAGCTGGTCTTTGACATTTTAAGCTTGAATGGTGGTTGCTTGGCTATTACGTTCGTCGATTGTTATTGGAGATTGGAAGATTGGAAAAAGAAAGAAGGTAAACAAGATAGACTTGCATTTATTTGCAGAGAGCGGTAAAGTTCGCAGGCTCAGAGCACAGCTGCGTTTATGCGTCAATTTTTACCGCTCAGCGTTGCAGTTGAAAGTGGATTGGTGTTATAGGCAGATAACGAAGTGACTTTAGTGCGTATGTAGCGTCGGAATTGTAATTACTGAGTAGTAATCTTCGATTCCAGATCTTCTCAGTGTTATCTTCAGTATATTTTCTTCTTTCAAATCCTTGTTTTGAAAAGTCTTTTAAACACTTTTGGGAGATTCGAATTTCATCTGAACTACGCTGAGGTTTCCAACATATTTTCAAGATTGAAATACCTTCATGTGTGGTATTAAATGTAACCATGTCTTCTGCATGATGTTTTTATCTGATACTTATCTTCAGAACTTACGTTACATTCCGAGGCGTTCAGAGAGTTCATATGTTTGTATATTTAATCAATCTACCTAATATTCGCCCGACCAACCGGAATTTCCATGAATTGTCCTTTGGGGTGTTTCGAGTTATTCTGTGGAGGACCTATTGATGTATGCAAGTTGTGTTGTGGCCTTTCATTCTCCTAAATCGCAGATATTATTCACTCCCTATTAATCTCTGTGTGAAAAACTGTTTACTCCATATTTGCATTCCGTAAGTTTTAATATATATTATTTCTACTCAGAGTGAGAAACGCTTAAACTCAAAAACTTTGACAAAGATAGGAGGAGAAGACCCAACTAAGTAAAGTAGTATTTTTCTTACTGATCTCGTGAACGTAAACTATCATTATAATCGTTATAAGTTGCATATATATATTTATGTATTTATGACTCACCTTTCTGCATTTGTTATATCCTTGTAAGTACTTGAGTACATGCCATTTAAACCACTCAATTGACAGGTAAAATCAATATTGACCACATACGGTGTACTCATGCGTAACATCTCCTGCAATTCGATTATCAGTATTTCACGTTCCGCACTCAAGTTATATGACTTCACACGAATGCGCATATATGCCATTACATTGAGAATTGAGATACCGCCGATCTCCATATCCTTCGCGTGCAACACAATCAAATTTGTTGGTATATCAACTTCGATTTGTACGGTCACGGAGCCTTCGCAGGTGTTCGTTTCGTATTTCGGATGCCAATAAAGGCGATATTTGACTGGGCGAATATGGGTTGGCAGACGATAAATAATCTAAAGGAAGGCAATAAGTATTCAATCAGCACTGTTGTATTTTGTTAATAGCAATAATAGAGGGATAGTTTCAGAATTATGGGTTAGAATCATAGAAAACATATGTGACGGTAGAAATCTCTTAGAAGAATCAAAAAATTACCATTAAATATAGTAAATTTATCCTTTGGGTAAAAGCTTGTATCCAAATTGGTTAACCAAACTTCTATCTTTTAGACCAATTACTATGATGATATAGTAACAGCATCTCTTAATCTCTTTTCTATTTGAATTCTCAATTAATAATGACTCAGGTATCAGTTGAAAGAACTTCTACAAAATATCATAATTCATTACGATAGATTCCATGGTAAACTACCTTCTGAGTAATGTATTTTTGGTTCAGTTCTCGCAATCCTTCATTAGTCTATATATAATTCTCTTTCTATAATAGCACTTTAAAAAGTAAATGCTCACTTTGGAACTAATGGTCTTCTAGTTCGTAAAAAAAGAATCTACATCAAAAATTCGTTTATATTGCAATCAGTTTCAATTTCAATCGATATCTGGGTTGAGCATTCAGGGCAGGTGAAGAAAAAATACTGCATACCCTGACATTGGCTAGCCGAAGCTTTGAAAAAAAAATTCTAAAACTCAATGGAATTTTTTAAAATTTCTTTATTTCTTTTTGAGAAGTCTAAGTCCAATACTTATCTATATCTTGGTGCTGTACTGGATATAAGCGTTTAAAACTTATCTACTTAAGTAGCGACGGAAATTATTTTATGGGTAATTTGTTTAGTTACCCGCAGTAGTCATAAAACATTTAAAATTCACCAATAAAACAGATAAGAGCTTAAAAAAAGTAATTACTTTAAAAGGTGAAATGTATGATAGGGTAATGTATAAATTTGGTGTACAACAAATATGTCAGCTGTAGATATGGCACTCCTGTGTGTAGAAGAATATAATAAAAAAGAAGAAGACAACACACCTGGGTCCGACGATGATATCAAGCGTTTTTACCTAATATAAAGAGAGGATCAATAATTAATATCAATTTACAATCTTCCTCAATGCCTGACCTTTGTATCTATTGGACGGACTTATTGCGTATCGTGCCGATACATTCCGATTATGCTTACAATCTAATTTATCGATCGTACCTCTTTTCCACTAAGTGTAAAGTAAAATAAAATATCACTTTATCGAGAGGCCGTCCCTGGCGTTAAACTAAAAAGTTGAAGTTTGTCGATATCCAATTTGGTTCACTTCAAGCAAATTTTTCTGCTAGAGCAGTTTGGACAGTATGCATTTTCCGCCAGTTGAAAGAGTTGAATTTTTTTTAGTAAATGTCCATCCCGATACGACTTCATTTATCATTCAACATTAGGAATAGGCTGGTAGTACACCGTTACCTATGGCACAAAGCTCTGAATCAGGACCTCAAGTTATTTTATTAGAAACCGATCCCGAGCCACTGTTTAAATCCATTAATCTGCCATAATTTAGGATTGTCTCAGTTTTCTATACTACTAGTTCCATTTTCATATTGGTAAGTAACTTTTAAATCCCGACTAGTAAGTCGATACACTTCTCTGCTAGTGAATCTAAATATTTATCTAGATCTACCAACGCAATATGGTCAGCATAACCAATATCATATTGCTTTTCGTACATTCGCTTCTGTCACGAAATTATCATTTGTTAAATATAATATTACGGTCCAGTGGACATGACAAGAGCCAGCCCGATTTTGTGAACCACCTCAGACATTTTTCTAGTTTTACCCGTTTATAAAACTTTGTTAAATATTAGAAATAAATGCAAATTTCATTATATGGGCAGTAAACATGATTATGATCTAATATAATATTGTATAATACCTATACGTGAAATTATCTTTTCCCGATTTTACTGATACTAATTAAGTTATCACAAGATATATTGATATTGTATTTTATTCGAAGTGGCTAAGTAATTTCAGGTTCATTAAACACTTTTGGACAATTATTACACATTAATGTGTCTGTCGAATTTCGTATCATTAACTAAGTGTAGTTGAAGCCGTTGTTACTGTTGGTGTCATGGTAGTTGTAGCCTTGCTTAAGGATTGTATAAACCATTGTAAAACTTCCAACTTTTGTTCGCACTCCTTCAGCTGCACGGTTGTATTGCTATCATCAACCGCTACCATGACTAAAACAACAATCAGAACAGTTGTTGTTAGGCCGAATGCAATGGCAAGTGTGCGAGCAGTCAATTTATCTGTAAAATGTTTTCTATTAAGTTCAATCTGATCGAATTAACTACAAGATCTCATACCCAGAACTTTTGAAAACATCTCAACTTTCTAAATAAATAATGTGATTGCGAAACGATCGGTTTAAGCGATTTGTCTAAACTGATTAGCATTTCTAAGTAAAATAAATCGCTAATTATCGAACCGCTTGTCTATCAATTATTTGAAATCGAACCAGTTTTTGACATTTTATGAGTTTCATATCAAAATATTTGATAAATATATGCCTATCACACTATATACATACAAATAGATAACTAAGGCTTTTTATATACAATACATATATGTACTGCTTATCTTTATAGCATTCGTCAATAACTGGTAACTTTGATAAATACCACCGATCGACCGCCGTTTATTTGTTTTATATCCACATTGTCTTACCTTGCTTTAAAGCATTGTTATTATAATTTTGATCTTGACCAAAAATGCTTATCAAAATTACTTTATGACGGCTATTATCAACAAATCGATGATGTTTTTTCCAATTTGACTAATCAGGATATGAGCTTTTTTATGCAATATCAAGTCGATATCCACTGACGTATATGGTTATTTGTTTTTTTTTTTGGAATATACTTTATGTATGGACTTTAGTTACGGTTTTATTAAATGATAAGTTAGTGTTAAGTTCATGGGTTTGTCCATCATGATAGTTGAATGAATAAAACTATAGTAAATTTTTAGCAATTATTCAGTCGAAATAGTTAGAATCCCGTCCACAACTGTTTGTGCTCAATAAAACTATGCTTAGTTAACCTCCAATTTAATATCAAGACAGTTTTTAGATTGTCGCAACAAATAATCAACATTTAACTTTTGAAATAGCAATCCGAAAAACTTCATTCACATTGTCTTAAAACCACATATTTCACCACTATAAAGGATATACTGAAATAATAAAAAAATGTCTACGTACCTTTTCCGGATCTGGTAGTCCAGGTGGTAATGTTGGATAATTGGGATTCGAGGTTACGGGAGTCACCACCGTATTCGGGAATGTAATGGTCGGAATCACAACACCTTGTGTAGTACGCGTGGATTGCGTTATTGTTGGTACAGTAACAGTCGTTGGATTGGTGGGATCCGTCGGATTACCAGGCGGATCAGTGGTTTGTGGCGGATTGTTTGGTGCTGCAGTCGTTGGTGTTGTGGGCGTTGTAAGCGTTGTAGGCGTTGTAGGGGTCGTAGACGATGTGGAGAGTGTGGTTGGTAGCGTAGTTGCATCTAATTTATTTAAAGCATCTTGCAATTCATCTTCCAAATCCGCCTTCTGTATGGCCAGGACAATAGTGGAGACCATGAAAGCAGTTGTGGCAAGGGCAAGGGCTATTGCAATAACTTTAGCCGTGAGCACTAAAAAATTACAATTACATAAAGTTTATTGTATGCAACTTTTTTTAAATTTAATTATATGATTGTATAGGCGAATTCGTTATCCTTTTTAATACTTACGCGCCATGTTTTGCTGCTGTTGTTGTGTTTTATTGAAAAAAGATTGGTTTAAGCAACTTTGAACTTGTTCGTCGGAGTGGTCCTTCCGAACTAATTAATGAATTTCGTTTAGGCTCTGAGGTTGGGTCATTTTGTATATCTACTATCCAATTTTATCGCTTCTAGAATGTCATACATGCATACATATATATTTTTACATATTTTAAGCGATATGAATATACGAAAATTTTAATTGCTACTCACAATCAATACAAAATTAACATTAATTTTTTATTACTCCAATAACTGATATTATCGGTCTTCATCGTCTGAATAGTCTAAGAACGTGGACGTTTGACTTTTAAACACTTTTGTATGCACTTTATTGTATATTACAGTATGTAGAACCCAAGAAGCTTGGACTTCTGGTTGAGCTTCCACTTAATTATTTCTGCTTTCTGCTTTTAATTAAAATGTATTTTTTTTTTAAATTATTTTATTAGTGAATCACGCACCATTATACAAGATAGAGTTTCCTATTTGACCTTATATAATTTTACGACAGAAAAAGGAAATATTCCATTGAAGGCTCCATTATGTCCGAAAAATTCATCAAGCGTTAATATTTTACCTCCTCTTGCTTTTAGTTTTGATCTGATTCTCCAAAGGAGCGTCTTATATTTATAAAGCCTCTTCAGAATAGGTGTTACAGCGAGCTCATTCGGTTCATTTACTTAGAGCTTCGAAAATAACTGTTTAGTGCTGTCAGAACATGCTTCAAAAAATCGCAACGGTTATAACGTTTGGTTTTCAGTTTTTTTTTCTGTTCCTCTATCCGAGCAAAAACTCGATTAAATAGCTAATAATCTCAATGAAATCAGACGAAAAAATAAAAATCGTAAAAATAAACCGTAATTCAATACGTTCTTACTTTTGTATTTTTATACATATTGAATGAAAACTATTTATATAGTTTAAGCAGAGAATATTAATTATTATCAGAGAATGTTGATGAATATTCATTAACATTCTCTGTCTGCATTAACATTCTCTGTTAACATTCTCTGCCATGGTTTTGAGAATATAACAAAGTACATAACATACTTTTAGGCGTAACACTATGACCACAGTGAACACAGGGGGTCGTAATTTGGGTAGACAGTTAAAAACCAGCATAAAGCAATATATCTTCTAATTATTATTGTATATACAAATATACATTAATACCAAAAGTGCCATCTTGCTGAATTTTAAGCAAAAATCTTATCCAGGGCTCGATCATGCTCAGATTTAAGATAAACATAAACTTATTGACATATATGGGTAGTCAGTACTTTACATATTAAATGTTCAACACCCCCTGTTACTGCATCAACCGATGCTTTGAAATGTCTACTGGCAAAGGCAGAATTATGTTGGTAGAAGTACGGGTTGATAACCAATTCATTAAACTTTGAATATTACCTTTATTACGTCTGTCATACATTTTATAAACTATTTCTCAATTCTCTTTTCTTATTTTTGACATGGCAACTCTATTTAGGAATATGTGCAGATTAATTATTTTATAGAAAATATTCTTAAACACCTTTGGGAAAAGTATTTTGTAATAATTTGGACACTTATTTTAGGTAGGTGGCTTACAGGGACTTTCCATTTTGTTTAATTTCTTATGATATTTTTATACGTTTTCGTCCTCCATTCGAAAATTACTATTTTGATTTATTAAGAACTATGTTTAGACTTTCACCACGTTTACTACATTTATTACTTAAAGATACGTTTTCTAGCTTAAGTTATTTAGTAAAGCAAAAATATCTTTTATGAAGGCAGTTTATATGGTAGCTATATGCTGTAGAGCAGTTTCTTTGGTATAAAAGGGTTTGTGCAAAATTTATCTTAAAAACAGAAAACCTAGCATATGTACTTAGCTTCTCATAATATTTCCCCTATATATATACTTTCAAGGTCAAACTTAATACATCAATGAATAAGCTCGATTAATCGATTAATTAGCAAAATTTTAAGCAAAAGTTAATCAAACAACATGATAAATAATTTTTACACCATTTACAATTCTTGTAAAATAATTACTTACTTGTTTTCTATGATTATAAATATTCCGCCTCTTACAGTTAATAAATATTCTCCATAAGAAGGGAAATTATGAAACCTTTATTTACTTATTGATACATTTCGCCTTCTTAATAAAAACTATATTGAAATAATTTTTGCCTCTTGGCTGCTATTTTCCACAGAATTTTTCTGCAACCACGTCGCAATGTTGGCTTTGTTGTTCGCCAGCCATGCAATATTGTTCTTAACAGTCTCCAGCGCACGCACACGCGCCGCAGCACCAGCACCGGCTTCGGGGTATTTAGCGAAGAATTGTTGCATTTCCTCCAACTTCGTTTGTGTATCGAAACGCGCGGTTATCGATGGTATCATGCTACCCAAATAGCGTTCATTCAAACCGAACCGATTCACCAGATCGGGCCAATGTTCGCGCACATAATCCCAGACAATAGGTTCACCTACTGGATTAGCGGCAATATATTGTATGCATGTGAAGTAATCTTGACCACGCACATTGTTTTCATCCCAAGCGAGATTAATGAAGCTGTAAGTACATTATTTATAAGTCAAATATTTTAAAGAATTTTAGATCGTGTGTTGACCTACTTGCCCAGTATCCATGGCACTTGTACAGCTGCCAGACCGGACATTAATTTCGATTTCTCACTGGCATCCGTTTCACTTACAAAAAGTTCCCACATGGTTTGCCAAGAAGTTTCGTCAGCTCCAAAGGCGCCATAATAGTAGATAGTTTCACGTATGTCCGGATGTGGGCGAGTGTTAGGATTTCCCAGCCATGCATTGAAGCGTGTACTAGCTTCATTTAGACATTCCTCAAGACCGAGCGAACAGGCGGCTGAGAGAATTGTGACACGCAAGCGGCTAGTAAATAATTATCAGAAAAAAAAAAGTTTACTTTTATCGACTTTTGTTATGGTTTGTAAAGCATACTTCTGCAGGTGATCTTCGCCCACCGTCCACGTGACATTCTGATAAATTGGCTTGATCAATTCGTATGCATATTTCTTGTAATTTCTATACACCTCAGTAAACATCAGCAAGCGTTTAAGTGAGGTAAGCTTCGATGCAGCCACACTCCAGGGTACATAATCCATCTCCTTAGCTAAGTATGCTGTCATATCAAGAGCTGTATCGTAGGATAGTTGAGTGGCGTCGGACAGTGAGAAGGCATCGTTGAGCAGGCCAGCACGATCGCCAACTGAGAATTTCTAAAAAAAAAATTAAAGAAAGTGATAGTCATAGTCATATTAACCAAAGCTTATCTAAACATATAGGATAGGCTAAAAGAGACAAAGAGTGCGTTATTATGGCATTATTTGTCACAGTTAATTGCATTCAATGGGTTTATTCGTGGAAAGAATTTTTTTTTTCTTAATTCCCTTCTTATGACAAATGTGCATAAAAAATTATTTTTGGTATGATCTGTATAGCGATACTCTGAGTTCTGAGGTTTTAAGCTTTGCGACCGAATGTCGGTCAGTTTGGACGGATCGTTCCGCTGACTATATTGTTTTGAGTATATTAGGGGATCCAGCTGGCGATTACGGGATCATTTTTCTTCAGATAATTCAGAGCCAATATAGAGCTCCCGAATAGAAATTTTTTTTCATTTTTTATGGTATATAATAGCCTAAAGTTTTCATTCACTCTCACAGTTGAATAACTTTCGAAGTGATTTTCGCCAGTTTTTTCTTCTAAGAAGTGATAAAACACGGCTCCTAGCTTAAATAAAATAAAATATTTATACCAAAAAGTAAACATACAGTTGGATCTTCCAATAGTTGATTAGCCAAGTTTTCCCACAAATCCGATGGATAGTTAACACGATAGTAACCAATCTGATCGTAATTGAATTTTATCCATTGCGGCGCCGTGCTCAACTCAATGGTTACTGCAAGAGAACATTTAACAAGAATATTAATAAAGTATAAATTTTATTTTGCAATAACCGACTTACATTCCGTTTGATTGTAGTAGAACCATACTCTGGTAACGTTAGTAAGAGTATTCGTTTTATAAGTAATCGGAATAGACCAGGTGTAACTGTGATAAAAAAAATGCAATAATGTAATTAAAGCATTACATAATAATTACTTTAGATTCACAACTAAATTTGCATGGTGTGTACATACTTGAAAGGCGAATCATTATAGACGCCTTCGTAGTCGTCGGGATTGGAGAAGAAGCGTTTCTGGGTCAATTTGTATTGGGTAGCGCTTATTCGTTCTACCTCCACCACCGGCAAACCCATTTGCTCTGTCCAGGTGTTCATAATTGATTTTACATCGATGCCCAAATTCAATTTTGCGATTTCTGTTAAAAAGTTATCGGTCACTGCATTCTTATATTTGTACTCGTTCAAGTAATTCGTAACAGCCCTTTGGAAATTATCAGGTCCAATGAAGTCCTCCAACATACGTATAATCGATGCACCCTTCGAGTAGGTGATGGTATCAAAAATTTCCGTGATTTGATCGGGATTAGCTACAGTCTGTATGATAGGATGTGAACCGAGTGTGGCATCCAATGTGAGTACGCCATGCAGAGTGCCAGTAATGAATTGATCGCGCTGGAAATTAAAAAACATATTACTGAGACAAAAAGAAATATATTTATAAACATGAGTGGAAGCGTTAAGTTCGGGTGTAATCAACATTTTATACTCTTCATTGAGATTTCTTACATATTGACCGATAGTTGCGGTATAAAGTAAACCGGAAGTTCGAAATATTTACATATATTAAGTATGTGGTTCGAAATATTTATATTAGGTTTTGGGAACCATGGGAAGTATTCTAGAGTATTCTAGAACTCACAGATTGACCGAAATGTTCGGTACAGTTATATCACTGGGGTCTACATATTTGTGGTCTGGGCTCTTGAAAATGTATACCCCTATTTCGACCATATTTAGGCCTAAGTAAACTACCTTGAGGACACAATTTGTGCAAAGGTGGTTTACTCTGATAAACATTTGTATCACACATTGTGAAAATGAAAAAAATCGGAAGACAATCACGCCTGCTTCCCATATAACAAATTTCTGAATTTTATCTGTCTCTTTTACTTTATAGTATACAAATCAAACATCAGTGAGTTTAACAGAGCAAAATTTTGCACAAATTGTGCCCTTAAGGTATTTTATCTCACGGCCAAAAATTATTAAAATCGGACTAACTTTTCAGGGAAACAGTCACCAAATATGTGCACTCCAAATCTTATGGCTAATTTTTTACCAAATAGGTTGATCGATAATCTTTGAGTTCTAGTATTGAAATTCTGGGAGAATATTTTTGTGACGACAACATTATTTGTTTAATACAAAGTTTTGCAGCACCTGATGGTATAACACCGACTTTGCAACTTGCGAGTGTATATAATTTTCGGTTACACCCGAACTTGACCTTCCGTACTTGTTTTAACAGGTTTTGAAATGACCTCACCACATATATTTACCACCCTGTAAGTATATTTTAATGCCGTAAACTTTGAAATCGTTCTTTCGGTCGTTGTTTTTACGCTATTTAATACATAATTTCTAAAAATCAATAATGTAAAATGCTCTTCTAATGTAATATTCTCAATACATTAGAGCGAAGTTTAATCGTTTTTTATACGCCATCATTATAAATAACAGTTTTCAAATAGTTAGAAAAAGTTTTCGTTAAAGTAAATTAGTACCGTAGAAATTTCGTTTCAGTTAAGCTGATTAAACGGAAACAATTTGTTGTGGTGATATTAAATATTTGGGTTACTATTTTTTTTAAAGAATTTTAGATTATTTTTATGATACCAGTATTAATTAATTTTTGTATACCGTTATCCTGGCAGTAAATTGTGTGTTTTAATAAAATCTCACTTCATGTTTTTATTAACTTAGTATTTCATTCTAATTAAATCATTAATTAGTTACTTAATTTTAGTTTAATTTCTAATTAAAAATTTCAGTTAGTTAAATTTTTCTAACACTTACCATTTTCCATTCCGGGAACTTCGCCTCAACACCTATATATTCAATGTAGCTCGCAAAACCCTCATTAAGCCATAAATCGTTCCACCAATCCATAGTAACTGTAAATAGATTAATGTGTTCAAAGTTGATAAGATTTTAACGAGCCAACAAATTCTTGGGTCATAATTCCAAACAACAGTACAATATCAATGCAATATTAACTGAAGACGGTAATCAATAAAAACGCAAGTTACCTAAATTTCCAAACCACATATGAGCGAATTCATGGGCGATAACGCTCGCAATGCGTTGTTTATTCACCGTCGAACTCACATCTTTATCGTAGAGCAATGAGGTTTCACGATATGTCACCAGACCCCAATGTTCCATAGCGCCGGAGACGAAATCCGGTATGGCGGCCATGTCTACGTGAGAAGAAGTAAATAATAGTGGTAGTAATATTAAAAATACATATAAATTTTTTTTAGCTAAATAGCTGAAATACTCACCCAGCTTTGGTAGTGGATATTCCACTTGGAAATACTGTATGTAATACTCGATCACGGCTTTGCCAACCTCCAAGGCGAAATCAACTTTATCCAGCTGCTCGGGGGTTGCGAAGGCACGCAATGTGAATGGGTTGCCAATACCTTTTGTATCGATTTCCGCCGATTTATTTTTAAAGTCGGAAACAATGAAGCATGTCAGGTAGGTGCTCATCGGTACGCTGCGGTTGAAGTAAACTTCCGTATATTTACCTTGGTAAGATTCACCCTAAACGGGGCGCAGCGTAACAAATTTGTATGTAAGTATTTTGTGTTTTAAATATGTTAGCCTCTTACCGCAATATCCATATTCGAGAGCGCATGGTAATCACCTTCTGAGGGATACACCAGAGTCACATCGAAAGTCGCCTTCATGGCTGGTTCATCGAAACAGGGGAAAGCGAGTCGCGCATATGTGGGCTCAAATTTCGATGTGGCAATATATCTACGAGAGCATTTTCGAAATTAGACGAAATTAGTTACAATAACGCACCAATATTTCGGTACGCGCATACTTACTTTCTCGTACTATCCGCCTTAACATACGATGAACTATAGAGTCCAACAATTTTACCAGCCATATTGCCTTCAAACAATATCCCAACCAAGAAGGCGCGTCCAGCCGGCAACTCCTCGCTCAATTCGATCACTAAGAATTCACGCACCAAGTCCAGGTAATAGTTCTTTACATATATAGTTGGATTATTTGTACTCGATAAATACACATTGTTGATCACTATTTGGCTTGAATGCAATACAATTTTGTCGATACTTCTTGTGGTGTTCACCCGAATGAGCATTTGGCCGGTAAAGTTACCCGTCTCGATATCCGGATGCAGATAAAGATTGTAGTTGATGGGAAAAACGCTATCGGGCAGTCTATAGTCGATCTATAGAAACATATATCATTCACACACACATAAAGTAATTACAATCTCAAAGTAATCATTACAATTTTGGACTTACAATTTCCGGCGCTGTTGTTGTAGTCTCTGGTAATGCGGTTGTTGTAGTTACAACGGCGGTAGTTGTAGTCGGTGTTGTTGTTGGGCGAGTGCTGGTACTCGCTGTGGTGGGGGTAACCGCTGTAGTTGTTGTAGTGGTGGTAGAGCTTTTCAGCGCATCCAATTCATCTTGTAAATTCGCCTTTTGCACAGCCAAAACGATCGTGGACGTCGTAAAAGCGACAAGGGCTAAGCCCAAGCATATCGCCACCAATTTGGCCGTTATAATCATGTTGGCCTCGGTATGAACTATCCTTATTGGTTCGACTAGTTAAAGTACTTGTTAACTACACTTCGCACAACCTGCACTTACGGCTGCTTAGCCGTAACTGTATCTTGTTCTGAGAGCAATTGCGTTTATGCCTAGACACATGTCCGTAAGTACGTCTATATCTACCAACAATTGCATTTTATCAAGGCAGCATACTTAATCTAATCATTAATTTTATACGAGTAGGGTCGTATATATTTACACGTTTTTGCATGTGTAGTAGCAATATACTGCTATACAAAAGTGTGCGAAAATAAGATGAATACATCGAACGTATTTTATTACTTAACCCTGCATAATATCGCGTATCTGTCATAAATATTATTAAATAGCTGATAACAATTAATTTTCGTTATTTGTAATCCCTCTATGGAGTTATTAATGAGTACTATATAGTAGTTGATGTGATAATCCAGTTGTAAAACGGCTATTTTTTTTTTTTTTGGTTTTTTTGTGGAATAATGGTAGGTAGGCATACATATTAGCATATAACTGGTTATTATGAACATCGAGAAAGCTGTATAATTTAGTTACTCTTATCGTGAAATATTCAATTAAAGATAGTAGTAATACATAAACTAACACCATTTGTGGAAATTTGTGCTGATTTCCCATACATTTAGTACACAGTTGTGTGTGAAAGTGACCACTTTTTAAACACATAAACTCGAAAAAAATTCACAGTTCAAGCTCTCGCTTACAATGGCACTCAGTTCGATCTTCCTTTCAAGACGTAGTACTAGAGCGCTGCGATAATTAGTTAGCCTCCTCGCGCAATGGCGACTATGGCAAGAGAAATAAACTATCGCCAAATATTTCAGATAGACGGTTTCAGCAGTATCGGACTCGTACTTTTGTTCCGACTGCATCTGGAAGCGAGCATACCCGCTGATTTTTAGAGAATCAGTAAGAACAACGTCGCTTTGTAATTTGATTATTGCCTTATACCTTCGATAACTTAACGTGGTAGTAGAAGAATAATAATCTTATGGGTTTATTAATCATAAATTTCAACCCAAATATTTGTAGTGACTATAACTGACAGAGTATAAATATGATTCACTAACACACTCACATTAGCCTTATCATTAAATATATGAGCACAATAAACCCTTTTGCTAAAGTGCAGATACTTGCGGTCAATCTTATCAGCCTCTTATTCAATCAATTCAGTTCCTAGATATTAGAAGACCATTAAATCTTTTTCAAATCTTATGATTGGAAATCCTAATCTGAAGCGTACCTTAATGTTGTGTTAGAAAACTGATGGCTATTGATTTGAATGAAATGTGCCACAACAAAGTTTTCATTCGAATAAAAAACGTTTAAAATTAAAATAAAAAACTTTACAACTTTTATACGAAAATGTCTATTAATAACAAACAACTTTAACAATCGCAAAGTTTTAAAATACATTTCGTCGTTCGTTACCACAATTTCGTTCGTTCGTCGTTAGCACATTTACGATAAGTTCTTCTCCAGCCAATTGGCAATAACTTTCTCGTTATTCTTTAGCCATTCAATATTGTTCTTAACAGTCTCCTGGGCACGCACACGCGCCGCAGCGCCTGCACCCGCCTCTGGGTATTTAGCAAAGAAATATGCCATATCTTCCAATTTGGTTTGCGTATCGAACCCGGCGGTAATTGATGGTATTAGATTACCCAAAGTGCGCTCATTAATACCGAAACGCTCCACCAATGTGGGCCATTCCTCACGCACAAAGCTCCAGACAAGCGGCTCACCAACTGGATTGCCTGCTATATTGGTCAAGAAATTAAAATAATCTTGACCGCGCACATTTTCTTCGGACCAACCGAGACGAATATAACTAAATTTAAGTAAAGAATGAAATAAATACATAGCTGAATATACCAAGTAAATTTCCAAATCGCTTACGCGCTTAAGATCCAAGGCACCTGCACCGCCGATAGACCATTCATTAGTTTCAACTTTTCAGTAGCATCCTCTTCGGCGAGGAAAAGCTCACACATAGCATCCCATAAACTTTCATCTCCAACCGTCATCATACCATAGTAGTAGATGCTTTCACGTAAATCTGGATGTGGTCGTACGCTTGGACTCGCAAGCCATTCTTTAAAGTGTACTCCCGCCTCTTGTAAACACGTTTCGATCCCAAGAGAACAGGCCGTATTGATCACCATTAAGCGAAAACGACTGTCAGAGTTTAAAAAGTAACGGCAACAACATAAATATTTTGTAAAATTATTACCACAAAAGAATGCTTACTTTTCCAGATGGTCGTCGCCCATCTCCCAGCCCAGTTCTGCATAGATCGGCGTTATTAATTGACGCGCATACTCTTTGAAAGTTATATAGGTTTCCGTGTACAAAAGCGCACGCTTTAGTGTTTGTAGTTTTGTCGTCACCACACTCCACGGTACATAATCCTTCTCATTAACCAAGTATTTGGTCAAATCAAGCGCTATATCGTAAGATAGCTGTGTGGCATCGGCTAATGAGAAGGCATCATTTAGTAGATTAGCACGATCGCCTCTGCTAAAAGTCTATGGAAATGCAAACGTTAACCAAAAATTTCTAATTTCGTACTACAAAGGATGTTATTTCAAAGTTTCATTATTTCGGGTGGTGAGGTTGGAAATTTTGGAGGTAGTTTGCAATTTATTTCTCCCAAAAACAATTTTCGGATACTGGGCAAAAAATGTGTCTATATGATATGTGTAGGGTACTATCAAAAGTTAATGGCCGAAAAAATACAGAATACCTTAGTAACAATTTCGGGACACAAGATTCTCGGTTTTTGTATATTCATTTCAAATTTAGACCAAAAACCGAAATTAAAAATATTTTTTTCGAAAGTGGCTTTCTTCGCAACTGTGTTAAATAATAACCCTACCAGCCTTATAGCACACTTCGAATCGATTGTGGGTTATCCTTCAGCTCAAGACAATTCAAGAAACAAACACATCAAAAAAAAAACAAAGATTGGTCGTCCCTCCTCTATAAAATCTCAATAAAATATATATATTTCAACTTACCAATGGATCGGATACCAATTCATTAGCTAAATTTTTCCACATATCATCTGGATAATTAACACGATACAAGCCCATCTGATCGTAATTGAACTTGATCCATTGCGCCGGCGTATTAAGGTTTATATCAACTAAAGAAATAAGTTAGAATCAGTCATTTATAAATGTTTTTAGGTATATATGTATAAATTTAATCAAAGTTATAAAAACTTACGATATGCGGAATTGTGTAAAAACCAATCACGCTGAACTGGGAGATCATTTACTAATATAGTGATCGGTATTGACCAAGTATAACTAAAAAGAATAAGAAAAAATAAAATAAGTTTTATTGAAATGGATAAAATAATTATTATATATATTCTTTGACATACAGTTATGATTTAAACGTGGTTTCAAGCGTAAAACTAAAGCTTTCATAAATCTGGAAAACTACCTGCTATACTTCACTGGAATTTATGACAGTATGGATTTATATAACATTACACCCAATGTTCTTAAGTGCATAAAATTTAATATGAACATAGATAGCACATATTTTAATATCGACTTAAAGCGAGACCAAAGAAATTGAGGGCCTCTAAACGCGTGCTCAAGAGTAGTGAATTGATTTCGCGTTCTTCTACTATTTTCTTAGCAGCAAGTCTTCTGGTGTTCCTGTCTTAGATGGCAGCTCTTTCTAATACTCGTACCTCATTCTGCAGTTGCCGTTAATTACAACCGGCACCTTGAATTTGCTTAAAATTTTTCTAACATTAAAAATATATTATTTTAAATTTTAACTTAGTTCAACTCTTTGGAACTGAAATGACGCTCAATTTGGCAGATGCGGCCTGTCACAGAAATACATATGTGTATACATAGATATTTGGCTAAGGGCTAAATACAAAAAATAATTTCAGTTATATAAATCACAAAGAGTGATACACCATATAACCCAGTATACTTTCATCTTGGTGAACTAACTCAACTTGGTCTCTACAGCAGTTATATCGACTTCATCTCCATTCAACATAAAATGAGTCTATTCAAATTCAACTATATTATTACTTACTTGTATGGCGAATCATTGTATAGCGAATTGTAATCGTTGGGATTTGAAAAGAAACGTTTTTGAGTCAGGCGATATTGCGTTGTTGACACCTGCTCAACATTAACAACAGGGAAACCCATTTGCACCGTCCAAGTTTTCAAAATTGATTTCACATCAAGGTCGGTAATCAATTTTTGAACTTCATCTAAGAAATCTTCGGTCTCAGCATTCTTAAACTTAAATGCGTCCAAATAATTTGTGACAGCTTTCTGGAAATTATCAGGGCCAATAAAATCTTCTAACATGCGTATTATCGAAGCACCTTTGCCATATGTGATCAAATCAAATATTTCCGTTATCTGAGCGGGACTCTCAACAGTTTGTACGATTGGATGCGAACCTAAAGTCGCATCCAGTATAAGAACATCATGTAGACGTGCCACAATAAATTGATCAAGCTGTGAAGAAAGAAAGGATACGTGTTATTATTTTACAATAATTATATTATATAATTAATGGCGAGTATGTAAGCATAAAAACACATTTGTACCATTTGCCACTCGGGATAAACGGCATTTATGCCTTTGTTTTCCATATATCTAGCGAAACCCTCGTTTAGCCATAAATCGTTCCACCACTGCATTGTAACTGTAAAAAGAAAGAATGTGGAAAATACGCAATGAATAACAGATTTACTAGAGTTAATATAATTTCAATAATTAGGTAAGATTACTAGAAGATTATAAAAAAACAAATTGCAGCTATATGCAAGTAGTCCGATCTGAACAATTTGTTCGGAGCTTCTACTTGGATTATAATCATGCAAAATCGTAAAAATAATTCGTCACAAAAGTTTTCCATACAATAGCTTGATTTTGATCAGTCATTAAAAATAATAATGTTTAAAGCGAGTTAAAAATGTTCGTGTGGTAAACTCCGTGTTTGTGTGGAGTGTTTAATAAAAAGTTAATAAACTCGAGTTTTGTATAAAGGAAAAATTACTTCTTAAAGCAAGACGAAGTTAAATCTGCGCATTCGGGTTGACCGAGCTCTGCATTAACTTTAAAAAGTTTAACGATTTGCTGTTCTATTCGTAACTAGTGAACTGGTTTAGAAATCGATATCAGTTAAAGCAATCGCACATACCCAAATTACCGAACCACATATGAGAGAACTCGTGTGCAATAACTTGTGCCACACTTTGTCTATTCGCCGACGAGCTGTGATTTTCATTGTATAACAAGGCGGTCTGCCGATAAGTCACTAGGCCCCAATGTTCCATAGCGCCGGATACAAAGTCCGGTATAGCGATCATATCTACATTAAGCGACAAAACAATAAGAAATTAATTTAAAAAATAAATATAAAACAGCTATAGCTATAGTGCGACTGCAACATAAACTAAGCTGCTTACCCATTTTTGGCAATGGATACTCAATTTTGAAATATTGTATATAGAATTCCATAACTCCTTTGCCAACTTCTAGCGCGAAATCGACTTTATCAATTTGTTCAGGTGTCGTAAAAACGCGCAAGGTAAAAGGCAGGCCAATATTGTTAGTATCGATAACCGCCGATTTATATGTAAAATCCGAAATAATGAAACAGGCCAGGTATGTGCTCATCGGTACGCTCCTATTAAAGTAAACCTCTGTATATTTGCCCTGGTAAGACTCATTCTAACAAGTAAGAAAAGTGAATCAAAATTCGTATGTAATCTTAAAAAAAGAAAAAATTATACTTACCAGAATATCCATATTTGAGAGCGCATGGTAGCCTCCCTCTGAGGGAGTGACCAATGTCACGGTAAAAGTTGCCTTCTTCGCGGGTTCATCAAAGCAAGGGAAAGCTTGACGTGCATATGTTGGTTCAAACTTTGAAGTGGCTATGACTCTGCGTGTAGGAGGGTTGAAGAAAATCGGTAAATACTGCAACGCGAATCTAAGTATATTCTAAATTTTTACGAACAAAGTTTAACACCCTTTATATATTAATACTTTGCCGGAGTATCAACTTTCGGTTTCTCACAAACTTATCTCTTACTTAACAATTTCATTGTTCAACAATAATGACTTTTAGCGCACTTAAATTTCGAACAAAAGTTTATTTTAATAATAATAAATAAATCGAGCATTTTATCTTCCTTCTGAGTTGTGCTTAGACGAGTCGACTCTATCTAATAAAAAGGATTTTATTATTTCTTCAGAATTAATGAAAAATTCGAATGCTGAATTCCAAGGTCTTATAAACTGAAAAACTGGAAATGCAAGTTATTTCTGAATATTAGTATTTCAGTTTATATGGCAGCTATATGCTATAGTGGTCAGGAGAAATGGACATGTGCAAACTTTCAGAACGATATCTCAAAAACAGAGGGATGTATTCCGTATATGCACACAGAAGGACATTGCTAAATCGACTCTGCTCATTACGCCGTTCATTTATATATGAATATATGTATTTTATAGGCTCACCGACGTTTGCTTGTAGGTGTTAAAAATTCCGTGGCAAACTTTATATACCCTGTACATGATATGATAACATGATATCAGCATTTGGTCCTGTTACTAATATTCGAAAAGGTTCATTGATTTATTATCGAAAAAATATTTAATATTACTTTTAAAATCACTATTATCAGTTCTTTTTTAATTTTTCAGTTTCACTTAAATATTCTTCGAAGCTACAAAAGTGATAATTAAATTGTCTTTTCGAGACAATAACCGTCGCACCTTGTTCATATTTTTACCTGACCTAAACATATTTAAAGTACTTACTTCCTCGTATTATCCGCCTTAACATACGATGAACTATAGAGTCCAACAATTTTACCAGCCATACTGCCCCCAAACAATATGCCAACCTGAAAGGTGAGCCCAGCCGCCAACTCCTCACTCAATTCGATCACCAAAAATTCACGCACCGAATCCAACGAATAACTCTTTACATATACAGTGGGATTGTTCGTATTCGTCAAATAAACATTGTCGATCACCAGGTTGTTTGAATGCAGCACAATTTCCGTGATGGTTGTCACCGTGTTTACTTGAATGAGCACTTGACCCGAGAAGTAACCCGTCTCGATATCTGGATGCAGATAAAGATCATAGTGGATCGGATTTATGCTGTCGGGCAATCTGTAGTTAATCTATAGAAACACACACATACAAGAAAAAAGTTTAGACACTAAAAAAAAATTGTGTTTTGTTCTTGTTAGCTCACGGTTTCATTTTCGTCCTCTCCCTGCACGCTAAACTGCGTGGACAAGGTTAAGCCCAACAGAACTAAAGTGAAATATTTCATGCTAACTTTTATTAGCATTTTGCGTTTTTACATTTAGTAGGTGTTCTAGCGGCGTGTCATAATCTGCTGTCGCCTACGTTCAAGTTCAAACTGTTCGTGTAAGATCTGTGCACTCATCGTTTGAACGAGCATTAGATATTTTTACGTTGGTCAAACTGCAGATTAAACAATCTAATCTCTCATTTATATGCATAGTAAATCGATTGTGACAATAGAAATATTAAACCATTTATTTCTACAAAATATGTACAGTTAAGTAGTTTATTGTGCTGAAGGCCGTTATCTAGATATATGGTGTTATAGGGTGCACTCAACGGTAAATGGCATTTTCAACTTGCAAAATTACTTCGACTAAAACTAATCGTTTATTATTGACATTGTAATTTTTTATGAACCATAAATAATGATAAGATTCAATAAATTTTTTTTGGTTACCCGCGAGAATATAGTGAATCCTATCTTAAAAAAAGAAGTTTGGGGTGATATTATGTTTTGGAATTTCAATGAAACTATAATAATGCGAATAATTTTCAAGTCCGCTAAGTACGCGTACTTAGCGACGCTGCCTGATGGCGGCATTATCTTGAGAGCAATTCATGAGCATACATTCTCGCAGACGTCTACTGTTTCAGCCGTATCGGACTCGTATTTTTATAACGCTTTTATTAGCTTCACCTGTATGTTTGTAACTTTTTTTGAACAAGCGTTAACTTGGGTATAATTTGGTATATCTCGATGAAACTTGCTGGCACTCAACAAAACCCCATTAAGAGAAAACCTATAAAGTGCAATAACTAAGCACTTAATTAAGATACCGAACTGTAATTTGGTACAGGGATTACGGAGGAAGTCATTTTAGCACTTTTTCATACGCTGTGAAAATGGGTAAAATCAGATAGTAACCACGCCCACTCCCCATTATGTTGAAAACTACTAAAAGTGCGATAACTTACTAAATACAAGTAAATGTGACATAATCATTAAATTACACAAACAAGATGTTAGGGAAGAGCTTTATAGGAGGAGGTGTAAAAAATGGACTTGGCACCACCAACTTTTAGATGAGATCCTATATATAAGGAACTAGCGTGTGGTGGGGTTGTGCCATATTTTTCGCATATTGAGCATACTACACTTTTTTCACAATAATACAAGTATTTTTCGGTCAATATTTCTATTCTTTTTTTTAGTTTTTCAAACTATATTTATTGTTTGCAGATTTTAGAAAAATATAAAAAGGGCAATGCAATACCGATCACTGATTCGATATTCGTTTTCGAATGAAAATAATGCTTGAATGCTGTATTTTTTTCTTCAAGGGCGAGTGTCAAAAATTAGTTTACCGAGTTTCGACGTTGTCTCTCCATGGTTTACGCTGAGCTGCGCCCGAGTACCGAGTAATAGGGCTTTTACCGACGATAACATGACAAAACTCTACGATCTGGTATTGGCAGACTACCAACTGAATGTGAGCTAGATAGCTGGGATAATAAACATTTCAAAAGTCAAATGGTTGCTACATCTTATCACGGTAATACCTCCGCTGCTCTGTCCACTGTATTTTTTAGATTTGGTCCCATGGACATCACTCGTCGAACAGAAACAAAGTTGCAACATCGCTGAGTCAAACGTATCAAGCTAAAAAAGACTATGTTGAGAAATAAATTGACATTTTACATGTATGTACAAAATCATGATAAATTAACATTTGCTTAAGAGCTTCCACTTGCTGGAAGGTAACTTAAGGGGTATGCACCACCACTATTCAGAATTCTTATTTTCCAACTACCATAAAACAGACTTGCGGCAATTAGAAAGGTTCTCAGAAATTCATAAACCATTTTACGGTTGGACACTCCATACTCTTGTTACTCTTAAAATTTTTAAAATATGGTTTCACGTTAAGGAACAGTCTGAAGACAGGATCCCTACCAAAAAAAATTATAGCAGAAACTCCCTGAAGAGAGATATCACAACTGAAATTTTACGAAGATCATGTCGCACTTTTCGAAATATCTAATTGACAAATCAAAAACAACAAACACATACAAATATCTTTTAATTTCCATTTCATTAACAACAAAAAATATAAACATTATTCTTAGGCAAATCATTTCGTTAATTGATCCAGGCGGCTGGCTTACCCTCTACTCGATAGCCATTATAAGCGGACGATGAAGCAGCCGCTGCCAACTCAGAACGCCGACTCGGCTCCCCAGCCCAATAAGATGGTGCCACCTCATATGATTGTACCGTTTTATTGCCATTCTTGATCGCCGACAAAATAAGCAGGAATATCGCCAATTTGCCAATCAATATAGACTTCACCAACAACAATTTCAACTTAGTAACCAAAAATGGTACAATGGCAGATTGTATGAGGAATGGTAGAACGAAGAGTGGCAACACTTTGGTGATCATATCGTACTTTTTGCCGCGACCTGAAGAGGAAAGGATATTTAGAATGTAGTAATGCACTTGTGTAAAGAGCACATAATCAACACATTATCAGCAGCGCTGTCACTAATTGCAAATCTATTAATCAATTATGCTACTCACCCTCCTCGGTGTTGTCGTTCAACCAACGCCCACGCATTATTTCCGCCAAATTATCGCTATCCACATTCACATTAACAATGTCGTTTACCATATCGAAGCTCATATTGACGCCGGGTCCGATTGTGTAGCGATAGTGCTTATTGCTGAAAGTGCCGTTAAGTGTGTGCTGTACGCTATCAAGTGGCGGATCGCTCGCATTGATGTTATTAGCTGTATTGTTGTTATTGTTGCGACTTGTGCGCCACTTATCAGCGTCTGTGGCTGTTGTGTTCGCGTGCCGATTATTTGTTTTTGTACGCTTCGCACTCATATGTGCACGATGATATTTACGTTTGCGTTTACGTAGCTTTTCCTTTAATTTCGCTTTGAGTGCTTCGGCGTCGAGTGCGGGTGGCATGAGTGGTGCTACTTCAGTGTCGGGCACAAATGAAGTTTCGTTCTTGAATCTTTCGTGTAATTCACTCACTTTTGCGCGCTTCGTCATTATTGTCGGCTTTGCGCTGGTCACGTGTGCATGCGCGGCTGCATTTAAACGCTCAATCAAACGCTTCTTATATTCCGCTGATGTGACATTGCCCATGTAAGTGCTTTTGTAGCTCTTATAAATGCCACGAAACACATTCTTCACTGGACGCGAAGTTTTTTTTAGATGCATCTTATGCGCTGTGTTCAAATTGTGCTCAACGAAGTCATTATCGTCGTTATTGTCCACTATGCTACGTGCTCTTGCTTTGGGTTGCGGTGATTTCACTGTTGTTGCAACCACATTATTCGTTAAGTTCGCCGTTTGTGCAACAATTCTAACTTCCGCGGCTTCACTTTCCATCGCAGCGGGCACTGCCACATTCGGTTTACTGTTTGTTTCCTTAACTTCTTCGGTGGCGTTTGCATTTAACACTTTCAGATTCAAATTCACAAACACCAACAATGTCAGCAATATACGAAATTTCGCATACATTTTCTTAAATTTGAAAATAATATCCAGCGCTTAGCCGTTTCGCGCTTCCACAGCAGAATTGTATCTCAAGAGGTGCTCCCACTAACTATCTCAACGTCTTCACGCAACGGCTTTCAAGGCAGAAATGTGCTGGCCGCAATAATGGCAAGCATTTTATTAACTTGCATCTCCAACTGCATCGGCGTAAGCTCGAGGAGCTAGCGAATTGTTATGGGAAAGCAGGTATGGCAACATGTTCACCCAAATAAAACTGCACGCCTGTGTTGATTCTAGAATTTCCAGTCGACGCTAACCGAGAATTCAATTAGTTCAGCCAATGAAGAGTTCAACAATAGGAGCAACAAAGTAACCACATATATTATATATTTACAATAGAAGCGAAGTTGGCTTAGCAATTATTTATAGCGAGACGAGAAATTGTGGCAGAGTGTCACTTGATGCCAAACCGCTTACGGAACATGCCACTGACCACAGAGCCGTGCACATCTACTTAGTTTTAGCTGCAATCTCTATATAATTGTATATTGTAAATATATATTTTTACATACTTTCATTCTAATTAGGTTCTCAGGCTACTGCAATTGTGCAGTGAGCATTGCACGCTGCATACTTTTCTGCTTTTTCATTTTCTATTTAATATGAATCGCTTTCCAGTAGCTAGCAGTCAATTGTTTGTGTTGAAAAAGTGCCGCCTTAGAACTGCTTTAGACATTTGCTGATAACTGCAATCGATCAATATAAATATAGCGATATACATATATGTATACATAAGTATTTGTTAAAAGTAGGTCTTTAATCTAATACTTGTATGTATTAATTATTTCTATATACATATAGTACAGAATTGTTATGAACAATCGAAAATCGATTCCTATTGAGCTCATCCGTTAATGTGAAATAAGTGACCACTTAAGCTGCACAGAAAGTTGAAGTAATTAGCTGTTAATTGTCGTCAAATTACCTCGTGTTGTTTACAGAATGCATGCTCTTGCCTTGCTAGATGGTGTTATTCTAAGACATGTGGTTTTCAAGAAGAAATAAAACGCATATAATTTAGTGTTATAGCCAATAATTTAGCTTTATTATAAAGATAATGGTTTGTCATTATGTTGAATTTTGTAATCCCGCAAAACCAAAATCCCACCGCAAGATATTCTATAATGTTCTTTTGTAACTTTAGCATACTTCTTCTATACATTGTTGTCATTTAAATCCTAAAAAATTTAACTTTTCCAATTACTCACAATCATTATTTCATAATTACCTAAGAACTTAAAATTTCGTAGTGCCGATTCTCGCCATTGTAATATTTTTATTCGAACTACTGTAAAGAAAATTTTAACAAGGAAGAGTGTGATTACTGTACTTGAAATTAAAAACACTAAGGATTATATTTTCTGATCCATAAGTGTCCTTTTTGAAATAGTAATTAGAGCAATCGTTTTTATATATTTTAAAAATTATAATAACAACAAATATTTTTTAAGTATAATTGCAGCTACTCCACTCTAATGCTTTCTGTTTTCATCACCAAAGTCGGTTATTATCTTCATAATTGTAGTATTGTTTATTTGTATGGGAAAATACAAGATCAAGAAGAAGTATGAAAATAATAACTTTTTCTTAGACAGCTTTCGCATCTAATAAACAATTTATTACACAAATCCCTTGTTTGGCTATCGATAAATACATATGTACATCAAAACTCATTCGCTTTGAAGAAAAGTATGTGAATGTATATGAGTGAACAAAAAATATAAAAGGTATAGTTGGCGCTGTCATTGAGGGTCAGGAAGATATTTAGTCACTCTCTATCATAGCTGTCTAATTACTTCAAAGTTCTACAGTGGAACTGGGTCCAAGTTGTAGGATCGAATGAATTGGATTATACTATAACCTTCAAAATTTTCATCTATCCTGCATTATATTATTTTTACCAAATGATTTTGTGTGATAAACATAATGAGGTTAAAAAGTTTCATTCTTATTCTAACCAAAGAAACTTTTCGCGCAAATATCATCAGTATTTAAAAAAAAAAATTTTACAGTAATTTTTAATTATTTACCAGTTTTTCACACAATGTCTATTAGTCTTGAGTAAGCTTTTAGAAAGCAATTAAATTCCAATTTTATCTGCGACTTAAACTTCTTCATTTAATTTGCATAAGCAAACACCAAGCTCTAAAGTGGCTAGTGGTTGGCCAACAATTGATAGTGGACAACTATAATTCATTGATAAGTAACAAGTGTTGCCGGAAAATGCAGAGTAAAAGCTTTCAATTGTGCTGTATAAATTGCGGTTTTCACTATATAAATAAAGTAATTGGCTTGCATACATTTTGACGTGCCACATGAATGTTTATGTATATATGTATAATACATTACATGATGAGCACATATCCGTTTGCCGTTTATGGACGCTCAAATGTCTGTCCGTGCACATAAAGTATGCAAATACCAACATGTGTGTGTGTGTGTGTGCAAGTCTAATTTTGAATGCAATTGTGAATTCAAATATGAATGTATGGCATGCGCCGATTCGCTGCTACATAGTTTAACATATGTACTAGCATACATACATACATATACCATATATTTCTACATGTACGAGTATATATACGTACATCGATTAATTCATACTTTTCGTGTGAGTTAATTTGTTTGGCTTAAGTGGTCTGGTAAAAAATAATAAAGCGGCATTGTTTTTCCCATCACGGATTTTTGCTTTTTTTTTTCTAAATTAATTACTTAATTTTAAAATAATGATCAATTGCACCCAAACTTTATCCTTCCTCACTCTTTCTCATCCATACTCGCCCTATGCACAAAATCATCTGAAAAGCTAATAAAAACCGCCTACAACAAAAATTAAAACCAATATTTGTGTATATAATACTATGTATGTATATACGTGTCCCATGTGAGCCTTTGAAAAAAAATAAACTCGATTAGCCCTATGCGCCGCCTTAAAAGTCTTAAATCAAGTACGTGAGAGCGCGTAAAGGCAATTCAATCGTATGCGTATGTATGTATATATATTGAAATTATACATTTTACTATAAAATATAGAACATTTGATGATCGTAGATGGTGTTAATGATAATTTCTTGTATAATAGGGCTTTCCAGCGGCTGAAAGGCTGACTTCTTCCTTATCTGGCATAGTAAAAGCTGGCATGGAGCTTTAGTAAAGTTACTCCGACATAATAAAATTTTCATCTAAAATATACAAAAATATCAGCAAATTAAAAAATGTTCATAATTTTACTCTAAAATAAATTATTATGTTGTGTAGTGCCACTTACATAAACATCTGCCTGGTAGCTGGCATGTTATATTATTATTAGCACCATATGATCATAATTGACCCGTTCTGACAAAAAAAATTCTTTTTAAGTATTTTAATACAAATCTTTATTATTGCCTTCAAAATAGGTTCCTTAGCGAACACAAACATGTCAACGCTCAATCCAATTTTCCATAGATTTTTTGAAAGGCTCGACTGGGATTGTCTTAAGTGCCTTCAACGAATTTTGCTTTATTCGATTTCGACACCAAAAAAAACTGTTAGCATCGTAAAAAATTAGACCAAACACACACTAATTGTCATATGGAGATCAAACGAACAAAAAAAGTTGTAGCAATGTACGAAAAAATTATTGATTCGGTTCACTCGCACAGTTTATATAATAGTTCATATAATATAAACTGTGCGCACCGGGTTATATTTGATCAGGTATATCTGCCACATTTGATTATCATATTGTCTTGTCTTGTTTGCGAATTCCAAAAACACTGTAGGGATTTAGCTTCGTCTGAGGTGAAAACGAAATAGCATTATAGCAATTTCATACGGTCACTTAAATGTGTCAAATAACTTTCTTCCTTTATATAAATTTGTAAAGAACTTGGCTACTTGGCTAAATTAAGAGGACTTATCAAACGCCCACTTATAATGTATTTTACGATCATAATACTGGTATACAAATTTAACCTTTTTTTATTTAAAGAAGTTTATAAAATTGTGTCAATTGTGTTTGACGTCACTGATTTCAAATCCACTCTCGGTTTTTTCTAGCAGCTCTAGTTTTAGTGATACAAGTACTTCTTAAAATATCGTTAATCGATTTACTTGAATTAATTTTCAGGGCAAAAAATTACTAAACTTCATAAAGAAACCGCTATATCTACATTAAGCAGGACTTGTTTATATGATCCAAATAGTTTGTTGTTTGTAGGGACTATATATTTAGAGAATGCCGTCATCTGATTCAATGAACATGTATATTTGGACTACTTTGGGAAGACAATAACTGGCTGATATGCGTCGATTTTAAAATGGTAAATTTTTTTTTGGGTCAACAAAGAGGATATCCCAAAAATCCCTGTTTTTTGTGCTAATGGGATAGCCGAGCCAACATAGAACACTGGACTAAAAATGTTTGGCCTTTGAGAGTGAATTAGTACCGGGTGGTATAAATGTGATAAATGCCCCTCTAGTAGCTAGAGACCCCCCGTAAACGCCCTCGTCATATAAAATTAGATCTGATAAAACAATTGATAAAAGCTCGAAAGGAGTATGGGGAATGTATTAAATATATCAGTAAAATATTTCCGAAATTCATTTTTAGAAATATTTTTTTTAATTCTAAATTTGTAGCATTTTTGGCTAAAAATTTAATACGTTCATATTTCGAGCACTAGCGCTGCTAGAGAGAAACTGACTACAGATTTAGAATCTGCGTAGCAAAATCTGTCGGGTAAAAAACTTCATAAAACAAAACTACTGTTTCAGAGTATAATGCTTGAAAATACAGCGGGGAATGCAGGGTGCGCAGTTTGCATAAAAAGTGCAATGATGACTCAATCACTGTGAGACACTTAAATTGCGTTCAATCGCGTCAATTAGCCATATTTATGACTTACAAACATACATACATGTATTGACTGACTTGGGTCTGACTTTGCAATGCGAACGAAAATTTCTTTTTTGCCGCTCGAACTTGGTGCACACCATTTATATTACATTTTTTCCTGCTTGCTTGTTGTTGTCTGCTCGACCAAAAATCAGTAAAAGATGGTAAGCGAAATGCGCCGTGCCATTGCGTCCAACGTTTTTTCGGTACACGCAGGCACATACTTCGGAGTGAAATAGTTGTGTTGTACAAATATAGGTGAGCGTGAGCATGTGTGTGTGTGTGTGTGCGCGCTGTTAACTTGTAAATGGTTTGTCGTGACATTTTGATTTCTTTTATGCACATTTTTCTAATTCTTACCTCTGCCGCAATGCTTTTGAGGTTTCGTTTTCAATTTCGCTTTTTTCATGATTTGTCAAAATTCTTGTGTGCGTTGCAGCAGCGACTATTAAAGCGCTAGTCAACGTCAAGCCGGTACTCAATATTTTACGAACCTTCAACAGTACATCAACTGCTGACATTTTCAACGCTGCCGCCGTTGCATTGCTAGTGTGTGTGTGTGTCCTGTAATCTCGAAATTTTCTACTTAAAGGATAATAATAAATTAATTAAAGGAGCAATATGGTCGCTAACAAAAAAATCGCTTTCGCCGTTCTGCTGGTCGCCGCTGTGATGAGCGAGGTTTTGTGCCAGCAAGTCGCTGAGGATAATGCTTCTGATGTTGCTGGTTAGTGGTTTTGTTTTTGTTTTTTATGGTGAAAAATAAAAGTGGTGAAAATATTGCAACAATTGAAATGTGAAATTATTAAAAGTATGCAGAGTTTAATCTGGAAGAATATTTTTTTATAAAAAAACCAATTAAAATTATTCGAAATTTTGCCTTTTCACATAAAAATAATAAGGATGTTAATATATAAAAAAAAAATTTAACAAATTAATCAAATTGACATTTATCGATAGAAAGTGTAAACCTTAAATGGATATATGCATTAGTTCTCTTTACATTTTTAACAAAAATATTTTTTTTCTTTAATTGGTTTTTATTTTTGCTGGTTTTTGGTTTTGCTTTTTAGTTCTCAAAAATTTTTATAATTTATCCTCAACTATTTTTTTTTTTAATTTTTATTGAATTTTTATTTTATTTTATTTCTGTATTTTTTTTAAATCTATATTTTTTCCCTTTGTTAATTATTAAACTCTTGTTTAACCTTTTGTTTTAGTGGTGCAAATTTAAAATATTTAAAGTCAATACATTCTCAATTAAATCCTTTTATAAACAATGTTTCCAAATAATTTGCCACAAAAGCTTATTTTTCAGCACATATTCTATCAGCTAATTATTTTTTTTGGTTTAAAATTTATACAAGTATTTATATAAAAATTAAAATTTTTCCGACTACTAAAACTAAATTACTTTTTTTTTATACCTTTAACTCAATATTTTATATATTTTTTTAATTTGGTTATCTCGAATTTTTATTATTTGCGATTTATTATAAATTTTTCAAAAAAAATTTGTTTTTTAATTTCATTCCTTTTAATATTTTTTTTGTTTAATTTTTATTTCTTTGATTACTTATTTAAAATTTAAATTTTTCTCCTTACACTTTAAACATTTTTTCAAATTTGCTCTGTTTTTTAAATTTTTTAATTTTTATATACGTTTTGTTAATTTTTACCAAATTTATTTTTATTTTCCCCACTCCTTTATCCTTTTGAATTTGATATGAATTTTTATCATCGAAATTTTGTTTTTGCCTTCTCCGTACACAGAAGGTCGCACATTCAGCCATCACTTCCTGAAGCGTTTAAGCTTTGCTGTCATTCCCGGTGCATTTATTGTTGGTGTGATCACCACACTGTTGGCCGCACTCACCGTTGTCTCCATGAAGGGACTGGGTGTTGGTGTAAGTATTCCAAACTTCTTTCTCTCAATTGATCAACACAAAAAACAACAACAATAATTTTCCCCCACAATTTCAACCACTTTCAGGTGATCCTCTTGATTCTGGCTATCGGTCAAATGCTGTCACGCGCCATTCCTCAAGTGCATGCTGCCGCTTACACCGCTCCCGCCCCCGTGCCGGTAGTCTACTCGCACTCGCACACCCAACAACCCGTCTGGCTCGAAAAGGAATGGTAAAAGGCGTCACGCATAAAATTAAAGGACTCTTGTTACCTCAGTGATGATGAAGATTTGTCCAAAACACAAAGAACAACGAATGCTTAAATTAAACCAAAAATATTATTAACTCTTAATTACTAGTATTTTAATTAATATAGTTAGTTGTAATATTTATATATTTATTTAAAAAATTTTATATATTCCAATTTGGATATTTGCAAATGAAATTTGTAAAACAAACAAAACAAAAGCAACAACATTTGCGAAAATAAATTATGTGAAAAAATGCGCTCAAAGAAAAGTGAAATCATTTCCCTTATTCCATTATATGTAACCAATATTTAGTATTCAGAACTACTCTTAGTACTTCCTCGACTTTGAATGCGTTACAAACATGGCCAGCCACGAACGTGACCGTTAAATGTTGCACGTATTCAGCGATGAATGGCCAGCGATCAGCCGAAACGAACCATGTAGAAAGAAGAAAGTGTACACGAACGACATAAAATGTGTCGATAACATTTTCGGTTCGGGGGAAATTAGGTCAAACACTGCGTTTGGGAAACGTTTTCTCGATTTCGATAAAATGGGCGGAACATACAGACAAACATAAGTATTTATAATTTCTTGACATTTCTTTTGCTCAGTTTAGACTTGCGTAGTCGCATTTTTACAAGCTTAGAATGCCGAAAACAACAAGTAAAAAGTTAGTATAACAATAAAATATATTATACTTTGAACGTCATATGTCAGGTATGTCAGCCAAAATTGGCTTCTAGTGTTTCGTCTGATATGGTAACAATATTTATATTAAATTTTAACACTATTTCGAAGTATACGAGTGAGTATGCTGTCAAACTGTTTCACGAAAGTTTAGCAGGAATATATCATATTTCATCATTATTTTTCAGTTTTACTGATAATCATCTCAAGAACAGCTTGCTAAATATTTTGAAAGCGAATATAGTCGAGCTTGGCCCATGCTTTTCATATTATTCAAAAACGTCTAAGTCTCAATATTGCTTCTGGTTGGGTGGTGAATTTTATGACGTCCAAATTCCTATATACGACCATATATACCCAGCCATAAATCAGAAGTCGGAACTGGCCAAGATATTTTTCTATTTGTCAGAGAGTTTTCATTAATACTATAAAACTTCTTTTGATCGATTCTTGAAGACCTTATGCACATCATGTAATTCTAAACTCCTCGTACATTGTTTTCTTATGTCTTTTTCAATTTAGAATATATATAACTGAAAAAAAGACAGTCGATCCTTACAACCATCTCTTGCGCCGAATTTTCACCAATAAAATCATTCGTCATAGACTGGAACAGGTAGTAATTAACTGAAGCCAAATCTGGACTATGAGGTGGATGTATAAAAAATTCGCAACTAGGCTCCCGGAGCTTCTGACGAGTCACTATGGATGTGTGTGACCTGGCGTTGTCCTGATGGAACACATATTCTTTTCTACTGGCCAAAGCTGGCCCACTTTTGCCCGATTTCTGCTTTCACACGGTCTAACTAAATACAGTACATATCCGAATTAAGAGCTTGGTCGTAGGGGCGCAGCACATATGATTCCCTGCCAATTAAAATTTTTCTTAACAACTTCATTCACGCTCTAAAACAATCCCCATTCTCACGAAATATATTTGTGATAATAAATTCTTACTGTTTCTACACACATGTACTGATCCACTTATCAATCATTCATCGAAAACGCATTGTCTGCCATAGTCTGATCGAACAAATTTGTGCTAGTTAAGACTACTTTTATGCGAAACAATAAACGGAACGTTCTTTTTATCGAAATATGGATTGGTCAGACAATTCCGCTGTTAACATTTGTGGCAAGTTGCATGTATACATGATTATACACAAGCCTTTACACGACTAAATACATATGTTTACATCAATTAGCAATCAAGTGAAAACGGCAAGCGCAGAGATCAAAGAACTGAAAGTTGAATTTCTAAACAAGCTGTGGTGGATAGCCGCGCGTATGGAAGGCTGACCAGCGCGGAGCTGAACTAGATTCTTTCCAAGAACCCCATTAAAACGGTACGCGGCAGCATTTTCTTATTTCTTTCATCAACAAGAAAGTCTAGAATTTCCAGCTAGAAATCGCAAATGACCAAAGCAAAAAGTTGAGCTTTGCTGGGGCGCTGCACAACTTACCGCATCAGTCGGCGATCGCGCACAAAACCGCACAGAAGTGCAACGCGACGACACAAATTCAGAGATCTTTGTTTTACTAGGAAAAAATTTACATGAAAGGTTCTTTCAAAAATGGCGCTCATCAACTCTCAATTCATTTCGACAATTATTGTTGTTGTGCTAGTCGCGCGCACCAATCAAGAGCGTTTGAGCGAGAGCAGCGCGCCTACGCAAATTAACGCGGAAGGTGTTGAAAAGTGTGGTAGCAGCAGTGACTCCGTTTCAAGCGCACGCCACACTGACGAGCTGATAAAAAGTGTGCCATACTTTCAGGCGTCACTGCCGATGCGCGTGTACGAGTGCTTACGCCTCTTTAGCATTTTGCGCTGCACGAAATTGTTTATTTTGCAAAAAATGGAGGAGCGCAATACGATAAATCACAGTGGCAACTTAACACGCGACTTTCTCGATCAATTTATTGACACGGAAGACGAGGTGGGCAGCCTGATTGATAACAAGTATGCGAATATGACGGATGAGAAGCTGAATCATTGCTTGGTTCTGCGTTTTCAGCGCTTCTTCAAGCATCGCGACATCAAATTGCATTTCCTGCCGGGAGTAATGGTGAAGATCGTGCCCAGTCGCGACAACAAGCTGAGCTTCACACTGAGAAAGAGCAAAAGTGAGTGCGCTAATGGTAACAGTGGTACACAAACTCAATTCCCCTCTAATTTATAGAAAATAAAAAGCAAGCCGTGCACTCGAGTGGACGCGCCGGCAAACTTGTCGAGGAAATCGATGAAACGCTGGGCCTAACCGAACCAACAAAAGAAACACATTCGGTTGAATCCGCGCTAACAAAGCAAAGCGTTTTAGGTTTAGGCGGCGCTGGCCTTGGTGGTGTTGGTGGAATACGGCGCAAAAATAAGAAGGGGTCCTCCTTTGCTACTTACAAGAACACAATTCTTCAAATGGCCGTGCCTGTTATGGTCATGCCCGCCATTCTACTGGGGTCGGTATTGCCATTCCTATTGCCCATGCTGAAGTTGGCCACCATAATGTCGATGATGTTGAATAATAGTGCTTTTATTGCGGCGCTCATTTATGCCGCGCGCACACACGCGAACGCGCAGGACGAACAGCAAATCAGCTATCCTCCACAAGGTTACTTTTAGTGAAATTTGTATTATTAATGAGTTTTGAAAATGTTTGTATTAATAAAATTTGAAGTACGTAGTTGGGTTACTAACGTCCATCATTTTTTGCGTTGGCATTTTGGGGTAGAATCAAAGTTATCGGAAAATTTCCATACCCAAATAAGGTTGTTTGTAACACAGCCAAACTAAAAAGATTTAAAATGATTCAGATTATTGGCAAATAAACTCAAAAATCATATACTGAAAAATCGACAAAAAACTATCATAAATAATCGCTGTTATCGACTGTCGACACTTTACCACATTTAGCACGATCAGTGCGATAGTGATCGAATGCTATCTAGCAAGTGAATTTTAGGAGCTACTCAGAAACCTGACTATTTCGAGAATATATGTTTACCGCAGTAATGATCGTGTTCCCCAAACGTCTACAGTTGATGCCAGAAGAAGAAGTGGTGGTTCTCGTGTGGTTCGAACCAATTCAGTCAGAAAAACTGTACGCGAACGCATTCGTAGAAATAAAAAACAAAATATGTCATGGGAAATGGATATATCGAGGTCAGGTCAATGTCAAGACTTATTCAAGATGACTTCCATGTGAAAGCCTACCGTTGGTCATGTGATCATCTTCTAACAAAAAATCAGGCTCAGCAGATGCAAGCGGCATCTTCACTGGCACGCGGTCAACGGCCATGAATGTATACTCTTTTCAGATGAAAAAATTTTCACTTTTGAAGCAGTTTTTAATAAGCAAAACAACAAAAACTTCCAAAGACGCAGTAAATGTTATACCAAGGATTCAACGTGGTCGCCATTCAGCTGATGTAATGGTTTGGTGAGGAGTCTCCTGTTGCATACAAGAAGAAATTTGTAGAGTCTCAAAATATTTTCAAAAGTTCAAGCAGCGTCGGCAATACCAATACGAGTACAAACCGTGCGTGCGTGCTGTTATTGATCAATGGCCGTGTCATTAGAGGGCTTGTGTGAAAGCACAAGGTGACCATTTCAAATAATATTTTGTTCATCGCTCATTTAACATATGCATTATTAAATAAAATTAACCTTTAAAAAAATGTTTTGTGGTTTTGAGAACGGTTTGAATTTGTAACAGAACTTATAGCTAGACTCAATATATTATATTAACAATTATACGTTTACGAAATATTAGAAATTAGTATTTATTTTAATTTTACTACTTTATTACCGGTTTCAACACGAGTCTCTAAGTCTAGTCTTTCCTAACCGGAAGTACATTTTTATTTTTGTATTAAGGAAAATTCTAACTCGATCTCGAATGAGACAATACGAAATAATTATTTGTTTTATTCGTATTATGCAAGTAATAATTTATTAATAATAAAATTTTAAAATAGTTTTTAAATCTTAAAGAGACTCTACCATTTCTATAGTGGCATCTTTAATGACTAGTTTTGTCACTGTTCTCAACTACTGATATTTGATTATGTTAATCATATGAATTTTCCAGAAAGTCTAGTTATCTAATGCAGACCAAACACATGCATATTAGAAAAATAACTGAATAAAACAAGTAAGAAAGAGTAAAGTGTGGACACAGCAGAACACTAGATACTGTCGCTAGATATATGTACATAATATATATATTGAGTGATATGTAAATAGGGTATAAACATTACATGAAAGACGTATATCATTCTATAAATGTAAGTAAGCGAAGATAAGGAGAATGTATAGTCTAATTTCGATCATTTTTGGATCCGAGTTGACACACGTACTCCGCCTTATTTGTACACTTTTCAGTGGTCTAATTTCTTCATCATACAATATCAATTTCCTCAGGATGCATTGTATGTTTCGAACAAATTTATGAACACACATACAAACAATCGAATCCTGATAATTTATATGTATATATAAATCTATACCCCGTTATATGATCAAAACTATTTAATTCTGTGCAACTTGTTAGCAGAGTAAAACAAATAAAACTCAGACAACATTTCTAACCACTTAATAATATAGTGTCACAAGCGTTTATAAAATCTGTATAAAATATGCATATTCAATACAACTGGTGAAGTTTTTAAACTCATTAAAATAAAGTGTGCATTGTTTCCATTAATTATTGTGTTTGTTAAGATTTTTTTATATAATATTAATAAGGAAGCTGGTCGTTTTGTATGTCAAAAAATCCGTTTGGATATTTTTCTTTGACTACCAAGCGACGAGCAAATATACGTATAACATATATTATAGATTTATAGCGCTTAAACAGGTCATAATTTTGATACTCATTGTCACTGACTTGGAGCAGCAAAAAATGTTAATCACAAATAAAGGAATCCGACAGCAATTTGTTGGGCATCATTTTTATCGAGGTTGTAGCATTGAAGGTAGGAAATACGTTTAACGTCTTTTTTGATTTTACTTATCAATTATATTCACCGACACTCCATTTATTTTTCTGATCCCTTTGTTTCTGCACTTTCTTTTTTTTATATTAAGAGGAAAAAACCGAACTAAGCAAAACGTCTTTAAATCTACAATTATGTCAGAAAAAATTTCTCAATGCCATAGCGATCGATTTGCTAACGAATTGACGATCGCCTGATTGCCAATGGAACTTAGAATAGTGTTTTATACCAACTAATATAATACTTGACCAATTTGAACAAAATTTTGATTGTGCTCATACTACCTTCTTGAGACAGTGTAAAATTAGAAAAGGTCGAATTATAACCTTCCATAAAACACTGAATTTCATACAAGCTTCTTTGATTTTGCAATAGATAATTTAATCTAAAAATATATGCTGAATAGTATTATACAAGAGTATGAACTAAATGGGTTTATATCTTCGCATAGCCTACATATGCGGAATGAAATAATTTTGATTACTTAAATTTATTTTATAAAGCTTATATTTTTTAAAATCTGCCGTACTGCGAGTTGATACCAAACAGAACTGAAATCAGATCAAATCTCCCTGCAGATCCCGTACAACAAATATGGTACTTCCTGTGAAATTTTTTCATATACATACATAGTATATATGTAGCTCATGTATTTCATATATCCTCAAAAAATGTAACAAGAATGTTCCGCTTAGTACAGGTTGGTTGAAATGTTTCTACGCTAGAAATGAAAAAATACTGTTTTTGGTGCGAAATATATTTTATTATTCAATATAAGCTCCCTTAACTTCAATATATATATTTATTTCAATGTTTCTTAGATGTGTTAGAAAAAGTTATTTAACTAAGTACCTATGTATGTTGATCATAAAATAAGATAAGTGGGTACTAAAAATCGGTATCTAAATACCTAATAAATAATATTGATTTTCAAGGCAACATGATATAAAAACTTAGTTTTCAGTATGCCAGTATATTTCACTCTTGTTCTAAATAAACTGTACAATATTTAATCATACTGCTGATTCACAAAACGCAAAATCCAAGGCCTTAACGATAACTTCTAAATTTTTTAAGACAAAGTGGCTTTGCAAGCAAAACTTTATGGTAGTAGCTTCTCCAACACCACCGAAAGGCTTAATGCCTTTATCCAATAACCACTAAACCACTATCAGTCGACAAATTCTAAAGCCACATCGTTCATTAAGCCAACGCATTCGTTGAAGGTGTGTGTGTGTGTGTACATGAGTGCACATACTATGTTGCTAACCTCCAAATTCATGTTTTGCAACAATTATCAATGGTTGAGCATCTGCCAAGCTGCTATCGATTTTCGTTTTCATTAGCCGAAAAAAAACTTCCGCTTATTAATATTCCACGAAATAAACGCTTCCTTGGTGCTTGAAAGCAACAAACTACAAGTATAAATATGAAAATGCAAATGAAACAAAATTGTTACTCGCATAATTATGCGAAATTCAAGATCGGAAAGTGAAACAACGAAATTGCTCATCCGCAATGCTGCAAAGGCTGAAAGATTGAGCCAAAGCCGAGCTTTAAGGCTGAGGTTAAGGCTAACACTGCAAGCTTACGACAAGCTCACAAACACATATACTCAAGTGTGCGTGATTCAGAATGTGCTGCACAAAGCGAACGTTGTTTGCTTAGAAACAAATTTCAATTTGCTTTTTCGCATATTCGCATCTCCTGCGCGTTGCGCTAACTTTAGAGACTCTTCTCCACTTTTTTGTGATTTTTGTTAATTTATTATTTGTAGTTATGTTTTTTTTTATTTTTGGTATGTATTGTGTATCGTCGTTCACTGCTGTTTGTTATATAAGCGAGTGACTTTTCTTGTTGTCTGTCGATTCTTATGCAAAATAATTAATAAATTTATAAATAATTTAAACATTGTGCGGTAATCCGCTGCTAACTGGTCGCTAATTAAACATATGACGCAGAAACTTTTATGTGTTGGTTCATATATATATTTTTTATATATGTATGTGTAAATAAAATACCCGCATATTTTTCAAAACTGTTTTATTTCTTTACCTTAACATTTTTGGTTATTGTTCATATTGTAATATACAAAATAAATTTAAAGCAAACTAAAACTAGCATTCCATTTCATACATGTATGTTTGTATAATATGTATATAAAATATATATTTAGTCAACCGCTCAGTTGAAAATCATTAAAAAAAATTAAAAATAAAAAAACATTAAAACTCTATACAAGCAATCTCCTTAGAACTAGCCTTAACGCTGTAAGTATGTGAACTACCTCCCTTAACGTAATAAGTGTGTATGCCGCATATAACCTCCATTGTGTGTTTAAAAAGTACGCACCCTCATAATTTACTTATCAATCAGTATTTCCTTCACATCATCCAAAAGCCGTGAAGCACGCAGCTTTACCCTCCCCCTCTCGATAATCAGATAATTTGCAAGTACATTGAGTATACGCATTCTATGTTTATGGGTGTACTTGTGTGTGTTTGTTCGTACTTTAGGTTGGTGGTTTGTTTTATTTTTTTTGCTTTTTTCCTTTTTTATTATTCTATGAGTTTTTTAGTGCTAGCGGTTGCTGGGAAATTGTTAGCTTGCAACAGGCACCAAGTATAATTTTACTCATTAAATAGTGTACTCTTTCCATTATATGCAAACCAGAAGAATAAAAACGCATGAAACTGTGTACGAGCGCTATAGACTGCAAGCGCCTCTATTCCTCTTTCTTATGCAAAGCACCCTTGCGATCCTCATCGCAGATATCCTGATCGTCCCACCCCCAAACGAGTGTCTCTTCATTTTCATGATCGAGTTTCGACACCAGTTCGCTTACGTTCACGTTGTTGTTGTTCACATCTTGCACCGATGGGTGAGAGCCATCGCCAGTACGTTGTACGCGCTTCAAGATCATCTCGTTCGACACAGATTTCAGATCGTAAGCTTGGCCTGAGCATATAAAAAAGGAAAAATACATTGGTACGTTAAAAGTATTAAAAATATGTGTAAGCTTTAGGTCACTTAAACTCACCTATACGCGCCATGAAGTCCAAGAAAGCGGTCGTCCAGTTGTATTGGTAGGTGCCCAATTCTCCCGCTTTGTAATCCCATGGGAAGACATGATGATAGTTGTGCCATCCTTCGCCGAAAGCAATTATCGACACCATTTTGCTATCTACCGAGCTGATGTTATTTTCGTATGGTCGCATGCCGTAGAAGTGAGCCGCGCTGTTCACTAGCCAAGTGCCATGCAGTGAGAGCGTATAACGCAGCATAGAGCAGACGAAAAAGCAAACTTGCAACGACGAGCCCAATACGAAGTAGGGGAAGAGTGCAGGAATAACGAAACAGCAAATCGGCATGACGAGGAAGTATAATCTGTGGGTTCAAATTAATTAGTAATGGTTTTATTTTTGTTCCTAAAGGGTCAATGGTGTATTACACCATAAAAAACTAGATTGTTGTCAAGTTTAGGCTGACGATTTTCATATACGAATCAAATTTAGCTGTAGTTCTTAGTAGTATCTTTCTAGTCTTTTATAAACGAAAAAATTAAAAACACTTTTTAAACAAGCAATTGTCAGTTTGGCAATTCCTAAAAAAATCGGCTATCGTGACATAAATTTACAGAGCTCTCCCTCTATTTTTCACTTTACTCCGATTTAATTCGTCTTCAAGAATTTCCATTACAAATTGGATCTCCGTTGTCCAATAGGCATTCATGCGGTAAGGCTAAAAATCTTGTCGGAAATTGTCACAGTTTTATGGAAGAATACGAGGTGTCCAATTTTTGCAAGACTGAGGTTGAAACATCTTATACTCTATGATATCTTCGTATATGGTAAATGGTATGACACAACAATTTATGAGGGTTTTTATGATCAATTTTCTAGAACTTTTAGGTACCACAACGGACCGGCGCTCTAAACTGTCCATGTGAGATCGACCTTTTAATCAAACCTAACTCCATTATCCACTCGATAAGACTTAATCTGCAATTTCATTTCAAACTACTCACTTCTTCTGAAACTTAACAACGGGATCGGCCAAAATGTCACTCATATCAATGGTCTTTCCACGCTCTCTCACATCGGGATGTTTCTTGCACATCAACCAACCCATATGGGCAAAGAAGAAACCACGACCCGAATTATGGGGGTCTGCATTAGTATCGGTAAATTTGTGATGAACACGATGATCACGACACCACTCGTAAATGCTGTTCTGGAAGGCGAGCGATTGGCACAACATAAGGAAGATACGCAATGGCAGTTTAGCTTTGTAGGCACGATGCGACCAGAGACGATGTACACCGGCTGTAATGCCCAAACCACCGAGAATGGCGTATAAATAGCCTATGGAAGTGGGAAAAAAGGGAGAGAGAAAACAAAGATATTGAATAAATGAAGAAACAAGTAAGCGACTTTTTATATAAATAATATGTACAAGTACATGTATATAATATATGCGAGTACATGATAGTATCAGTGCAGTACTCACCAATAAAGAACTCCAAGTATGCGTTCTCAGCCCAAATAAGATACACACCATAGAGTGCCGTCGAATGCAACACCACGAATAACATCACATTGAACCACACAATTTCCATTTTATAAGGATTCTTCGTGACAGCGTCCGCTTTACTTTGAGTTTGTGCCGACGCTTTGGACGAATTCTGTTGCATTGCCGCAGCCGATTCACCCTGATTGGGTACACGATCATTACTATTCTTACAACTGGGCTTAGCCAATGTAGTCTGTTTATTGTTGTTGGCATCATTATTAGTAATTCCCGTTTCGGCAATGAGAAAAGTGCTGCCGATCAGATTTGGAGCCATCTGTAGGAAGCATAAAAAGAAAAAGAGTATAAATTAATTATTTGAGATGTTAAAATTATAACTCTTAGCACTGATGAAAAGCGTAGAGCAGTGCTTTAAGTAATAAGAATTTCAGATTTTTGATGTTTTTTCATTACATAAATTATTGTTTCATAACCATCTTTTATTATATAGGTAAGTCTTAAATCATGCATGATTGCATAATACACGCTGACAACGTCATTGATAAGCACATGTGATTGATTGATTTAAATAAATTTTCAGCAAAATGAGCTTCATGCTCATTGTTCTCTATGCGATTCGCCCGTCATGACTCTCACGTACTCATAACGCTTTCATACACAAATATTTGTATTCTCCATATTCCACCCACAACACCTTATTTCGTTGTCAAGCAGACGCTTCGCCAGATAGTCGTTACCAATTCGATTTACGTGTCTGCGATTTCCTTATACTGACTACCAAATAAGTTCTAAACTAAGCTTAATGTAGTTATAGAATGTGTTAATGAAATTCTCAAAAAATATGGCTCATCAAAAATTCCCATCAGGTTTGACTAAAAAAATTACGAATGCAAAGAACAGATTTGTGAAAAAAGTGCGATAAAAGTGTATAGTTGCTCGAGAGTTCAAAGTCGCGAGAACAGGGACATCAGCTTTTTAATTAAAGAGGCGATGAAGACACGTGTTAAGCTTTAGAAACTTGTGGTTTCGAATTCCAAAGCTAAATAATGCGAAATGTGAAACACATTGAATCAAATATTGCTGGTAAAGCAACTTTTTTTGGCGAGTTTTTAGCTGATTTCGTATTCGCTGAGAGATTTGAAATAAAATTCATATAGTAATTCTATTTCTATTTGCAAAATCATAAAACTTTAGTAAAATGCATGTCAATCAAACGGTCACACAAAAGGGGCTTGGCCCCTTAATGGTCGGTCATAAAAGTTGTCTAAAACTGAATAAAATATCTTTCGTACGAAGGTAGGATTCAATTTTAAATTCTTTAAAATAAACACCGACATAATATTAACTAGCTGATAGGAATCTAGTAAACTAATTGTAGCATCAATTAATGTCAATGTTCTTTTATAATACTTACGAGTGTGTACTCGTAGTACGAAGTTTTAACGGTCTTCCCAAAAACGTGCTTTGTATAAGAACAGAGATGTCAGATAATTTAAGAATTTAAGTAAATATGTGTATTGAAGCGAATTTCCGCATAGCTAATGTTCATATGTATATAAATATATATATATATATATGTCTCAAACAAATTAGTTGAGGTTAAGGTGACTTAATGCAATATAAATAAAGTGTCAATCATTAATAAAAGCGAGTCGAATGAGAAGCGGTACATTCAATTTCTAGCAAGGATATGTAGTACAGCTGACTAAAAGTACTGCGATTAATTTTACGCAAAAATATCTAAAGACTTGAATTGCCAATAAAGTAGTTTCCAAATAATCTAGCTTTAATTAGAATTCAGGAAGACTACGTAATATAAAAGTATTTACCTTTTCAGAGCTATAGAACAAATGCAATATAGCCGAGTTTAATAGAAAACACTATTTATTAAAGTTTAGGCTAAGAATATAGTAAAGCGTAGTACAAATAAAAAATTACAAAAAATTTGAAAGGCATAAAGAAGTATTATGATAAAATAAACAATTAATGAGTGTAACACACTCTTTTATAGCTCGAGAATTAAGTTTTGCTCACACCACTCACTCTACTATGCATTTAGCCTTAGGTTGTTAACCTTAAATGATTAAATTGTGTAACACAAACATATGTTTATAATAAACTCCGAAAATAAAAGTATCTATAATATGTTTAATCTTAGGAAATCTCAAATTGATTGCATAAAACAAATTTGAAACGTTTGAGTAATTTTGCTGACAATAAAATAATTGCAAGCAAGTATTTAAACTCTAAAAAGCAATAAAAATTGTTTTTAGAAATTTTTTTTTAAATTATTTTCTTTTAATTATAAAATTGTTGTCTACTAATTCGGCATTGGTGCTGTTAAAATCGATTAACGGTATTTAGCGGTTAGTTTCAATTGCATGGTTCATTGCATGTTGCTTTGGTTATTCACCATAAACCGCATAACTTCAAATTAGATATTTATGAAATCTTTAAATTAATTTGGCAACACCTTCCGACAACACTTTGTGGCAATTCATGTCAAAAGAACTTCAAACTAGCAATTCAATTAAGTAATTTTAAGATTCGATTCAAAGTATTTGGGTATTGCAATGTTTGCATATTACCACACCGCATTTGGAAGCAATAAAATGTGATAGACGTAGACCGGCAGTGATTTGAATTTATGTAGTGTATATATGCACATAGATATAAATAAATATTGGTACATATGTATGTATGTAGGTTTATACTAGAAGTAATTTAAATACTATTCAGCTACATGTTCAAAAATGTATATCCATACATATAACATATATGTATATATAAACATTGTATATATGTTCGTATGTCAGAATTTTTTGATAAACTTTTGGCAGTTAGTCATTTCCGGCCACAATTCTAAACCCAAACCCAAAACAAACACAGCAATAAACGTGCTTTGATGAATTACCATTTTATTACTTTGGAAAATATTTTTGTTGTTTTTTTTTTTTTGTTAATTGACCATAAGTGTTTTGTTACAGCATAGTTATTACAAAATGAAATAATAGATTTTTTTTTGGAAAAAAATGTTGCAACTCTTTTACATATTCTTACAATCTGTGGTCATTAAAACTGCAATTAAATAGTTACTAACTAATGAAGTCAAGTTTTGTAAGAACTCTGCATTCTGGCGTTAACATAAATTTCATTAAATTCTTACAATGTTATGAAATAGTTGTATTCTCATCTCATTTAGCGAATATAGCGGCGCCGTTGAGCAAAGTAGCGGTTAATTAGCTGTCAGTAACATATGTTTGACAGTATCAGCTACAATTATGCTGACGTCACAATAGCGAATGTTAATCAAGTATATATTAGTATTTTCGGAGATATTTTGATATTTTATAAATTATCTTTCAGCTATTTTTCTTTCTACTAGTCATATAATAAAGCCCGGTTTACTTATTATATTAATTTATCGTTGTCAAAAGCTTTATTTCTGAAGGTTTATTAGTTATGTTGACCAAGATTCAGAGTTTATAAAATAGCTGAGGTTAAAATTTGTTTCTATTTTTTAAGGCCCATCGAAAACTGCCGGTTTTTGCTAAAATTAACAGCAAAAGGCACTCAACTTTATTTTGACATTCTTCATTATAAAATGGTTTAAAGATTTATATACCCATATAATGACATATAACTTATAAAATCTATTCTAAAAAGCCATGTTTATGTTTTGTCGCAGAAGATCTGAATGCTTTTAGAAATATTTTTTACAAATACTTTTATACCTTTCAAAATCGAAAATAACGAAAAATGGTGTCGTTCTTAAAAAAATCCGAAGAAGCTTGACAGCTTGTATTCTAAAAACAATTTCAAAACATAAATATACAATAAAAGACTAAATATTAAGCGCAAATCTTTAAGCACACACTTAACTATAGAAAAATTAGCAACAATCCAACTGAATGCCAATTTCGTGGCATTTGCATAAATTAAAGAGATGCTGGCTCAGAGACGTGCTTTGGCAGTGTGAAACTTGAAAACTTGCAGTTTGTGCGGTTGGCAGCCGCAAGCAACTTGTGGAATTGATGGACTTGACATTGAATGCGGCAATTGATATTTTGTGCACCTGTCTCCGCCCAGCCTTGCCTTTGCCGAGTAGCAAGGCTTTATTTGGCTTGCTATATGGCAGGTCATAGTCGCTTAGAGCTGTGGCAGCAATCTGGTTGTTGGCAATGTGCAACAATGCTTCAGCATTTAAACGAAAATACTTGTATACAGGGTGAGTTGGGATATATAATTTATATATTTACAATTTGAACTCTTATATTTACGATTTCATTTTCGAGCTTGATACATATTTTTTTAATGTTACTGAAGACCTTTCGTAATTTATTTTTGAAATTTATAAAAAATAATTTTAAAAATTTTAAAAAAATTAAATGTTTTTCTTTGTTCATAAAATATATATTTTTTATTAAGTTATTGAAGACCTTTGGTAATTTTATTAATTTCATATTGAAAAATACTTTAAAAATTTTTAATAAAAATAATTCGAAATGAAAACATTTATTTTGAAAAAAAAATAAGACAAATGGTAATTTTATTTATTGAGTATTGAAAAACAGTGTTATAAATAATGTAATTAAAAAAATTGTAATTAAAACTTTTTTTTTTTTAATTTTAATTTCTTGTTTTGTTGATAAAATGTGTATATTTTTTAGAGTTATTGAAGACATTTTAACCTTTTTGGGAATTTATATATATTTCTAGTGTTATTTAGTGATAGTTAAGTTTCTTCACTTAAGTTTCCCGTATATTTAAAATTTTAAATAATATACTTTTGAAAATTAAAATTTTTTTGACAAAACACCCTTTATATAATCGCTTATATTTAATAATTGTCTTAATCAGCCATTTATGTGTGTTTACGGACAACAAAAAATATATTGGCACTATTTTGTAGGCCAAGTTTACTCGCATAGAATATTTATATTGAAAGTATTTTTGACGAGGCTCAAAACGCGCTCTCTGCATTCACACAAATGAATCGACTTGGTAAGCTTTGAAAACCAGTAAAACTGTTTGCGAGTTTTACAAAAACCATACGCTATAACCCCTCCGTCGACCTGTAGTCCCTAAAGCCAGCGAAATCCAGGTTAATCCACTCTATGCGGCGAAGAAACATGCTTTCAACTAAAGCCTGATTCTTGTTTCACCTGCAAAACTTCTCTATGGATTTTTTGTGGTCTTTATGTTCGCAATCTTTTTCCAAAGTGAAGTCATTTTAAACTAATTCGATACGGTACTAAATGTTGCATAACGACTTTAATTTTAAAGGCGAAGCGCAACTGGTTGGCCTCATATGCTGGCTCTTTGTATACCACATATACATATGTATTGCGACATTACATACTTATATACGAACATACATATATTTATATAGCAATAAGAATTATAAAAGCAGCCATAAAAACTATTTACAGTTTCCACTTTAAATTTCCCTTTCAATTTTCGATTGGATCAGCTTCCCAATAACAACAACAAACTTTAAGAATCCGTAGATATGAGCATATATTAATATTCTTAAAGTTTGACTTCTTGTAACTATAGTCATAATATTTTGCAATTTTCCAATCATCATGTGCATAAAATGGAAAATTGAAAGGGAAATGTAAAGTGGAAATAATATGCAATAGCCATGCCAAAGTTAACTGTAAATAATTTTTATGGCTGCCTTTGCAAAACTAATTACTATTTTTTAAATCAAATGTAAGCCATTAAATCCGTTCAGTGAATTTTTGAAGTAATTTTTTTGTTGATTTATTCAAAAATGTGGTAACTCTGCACATAATATTCCATAAATTTACTACTTGAAGTGTTTAAATGTTCTCAGTGTTAAAATGTTAACAGGAAAACTTTGCTTCAGTAGTGGAAAAAGTAATTAATGCAAATTTTGACAAAAAAGTATTTTAATGATTACCGTGAGTGGCACTGAGGAATACTTTTTTACAAACAAAATCAGTTTTTATAAGCAAACTGTAGTTAAGCCTCCTGTTTCGTCACGTCAGTAAATCCTGACGTCAAAACATCGACTGATAATTCATTTATGTCAATTATTTAACGGAACAGTAATGAGCACAAATATGTTATTCATGACATGGAACAGCTAAGTGAAGAGTGATGCTTCTGACATGAACTTCGAGCATATTGATGATTTATTCAAAAATCAATCCATTTTTAATCTTATCAAATATCTCGTCACACATTAGATAAGGGGTTTTAAAAGTAAATTTATATAAAACTGATCAGCGTGACAAGCTAAGTCGATTTTGTCATGTTCACAAAATTTGGCATGTATTAATATCCAAGGCAACGGTATCAAGGAAATTGTCAAGATTGGACAATGCAGGTCATATAAAGGGATCGTTCTAAATCAAGATACAGATATTTTTATATACCTTTATGCTATAAAAAATTTAGCTACTTAACTGGTTTTTGGAAAATTCCGTTTAGGTCTCATAATAACTTTGATTTCTACAATATATACCTCTTTAGTTACATTTCGTAGCTAAGTGCTATGTATGCAAGATTTTTAAACGCACGTACACGCATAATTCTTTGCTTTTTCAATATTCATCGCACGCATTTTCAAATTTAATCAATTTGTACGACTACAATAATTGTAGAATAATAGACACTTCTCAACGCGTACAAACACACATAAATACTAACATATATATATATACGTATGTGCACATAAACATTCTTTTAAATTGGCAAGCGTCATAAAAATCACTCTAATCGCCAACAATTGACGCCCGCACACCCACCAACCAGCCAACCAACCAACCCAACTAGCGACATTACACTGTGTACACACATATGTACATACATACAAACATGCACTGCTGACCAACGTGTATTTTTGTAACGACTATTCATGTTACTAATATGCTGTGAACGTCAATGCGCCGCCGGCACTCCAATGCGTTACATACATATATATGTGTGCGTGTGCGTGTTTGTGGGCACAGCAACCGCCGACAAGGCGCAGAAGAGTCGCACGCATTTGCGCATGCGCGTGCACCACATATTAATTGTGTGAAGTTCGCTTAGAGACACGCAGCTTTTCAGCGCGAATTTGCATATATATGTGTATATTACATGTGAATGGTACATCTATTGACATGTGTGTCTATATGCTTGTGCGGTTGCGCGGTTCATCCCAAAACGATACAAATCGCGAAAAAAAATATAAAAATATCAATATTCAAAATGGCAAATCAATTGGCATATTGTGAATAATCAATTTGATCGATTCATACAGTTGACGCGCGTATGTTTTTCGCTGTATTTTTTCTACTTCCCCCCCTCCACACTTCGACTATTATTTATATAATTATTATTCCACTTATGGTCTGCAAAACTTGGAATAATTTATAATTCTTCTGCTTTTGTGAATTATACGTGATCTCAATTCTAAAAACAACAACAGCAACAACAGGCAGTATATTATAAAAACAAAAATAGTCACGGTGTGGCTCCTACGTGCCATAAGTAAGTAAGGATTGCGTGCGAAAAAATTCGGAAATGTTTAGAAGATGGCAGCACTATTTTTTGTGACTAGTTTTCCGTTATTCTTCCGTTACACATTCTTTTTTTTTATTGTTCTTCGTACCGAGGCAACTTTATTTAAAGAAAGTTGTTATTAATAAAGATGTCGATTAAAGAAAAATCAAATCTAACACTTATTGTGTACTTTTTGTAACTAAAGGCACCAGCAACAGTTAGATTTATGGTAAAGAATGTTTGGAGTAAAGATTACTTCCGTTTATCCCCAACCCTCCAAACGCACCGATGCTAAGACCAATTGATCGATGTTGAGCAATAGTTTAGCGATAACTTAAGAAAAAAGGAGAACACGCAGAAGATATGATTTATTTTACAAAACAATGGATTGAAGCTGCTAAAATATGTAATGAACCATGTGTACAGAGTTTGATGAGAGGCATCAAACATAAGAGCCGAAATTTTTATGGTACACCACAGTGAACTAAAAATTAAAACATTTTAATAAAAGATGTTTATATATCCATTAAACTTGTAAAGTAAAATCTTATATTATAAGATGTGGGCCTTATGTATGGAGCCAATGCTTGAAGTATGTTACATAGCTTATTAGTCGTTGACTACCGTGTCTAGCCTAGAGGCAACAAGCCACTCAACTGAGTGTATCCACCATCCATGCTGGCAACGTTGCTTCCTCACTGCGTAGTTGTGGTCGACTAGGAAGTGAAAATGTTTTTTGGGTTCTCGTTTTTTTATTGTTTATATGTGTGTATACTTCCGAAAACAACTCTTTGTCTGCTATCTTGCTATGATATACTTCAAACAGGTTATGAACGAAATCAATAGTTCGGTGGCTGGAAATATTGATTGGCATTTGCTTGATAATTGAAAAAATTTAAATAAAATGCTTATCTCATGTTGCCATTTTTATTGAAAAAAAAACAATAATTCTTGTTAGTTTAGTGTGATTTTTAGCTAGCTTTTTGTGCTCTATTTTTATACCAGCACATATTTCTAGACAAAATTTAGAAGAAGAGAAAAATATTTGTGAATTGCACTGATATTACTATTTATTTTATAGCAAATTATAGTAACAATTTTAATGATTTTTTTTTTCAGTTTATATTTTAGTTTTTAGCCCCATTTATTCAAATTCATGCGAATTCTACTAAACCACTTAAGTATGTAAAACAGAAACTATAAAAAATACAAATTTATAATATAGGCATATAAACTAACGTAAGATCTTGATTTTGCGAAGACGAGTTATAAAAGCTGAACGCATAATTCGAATAAAAGTCGAGTTTAAGATTTTATATATACAAATTAGGGGAAATTATGATTGGTGTGTTCGATAGGCCATTTCTCTGCTCGCGCAGAATTTCCTCTGACTTTGAAACATATTTTTTTTTTTTTGACTAAGGATATAAATATAAAAGAAAACTTTATTGTTATCTGTGAGTTCAGAAAAATATCGAGCACTTTTTAATTTTTTGTTGTTATTTATATTAAAAGAAATTTCAAAACAGTTTTTTTTTTTTAATGTGCATGAAAAAACTTATCAAATGTATAGTAAGTCATTTAATAAATAAATTATCGAAGCCTTATTATTAAATTTATGAATTTTACCATTAAAAACCAAACATTTGTATATTATAGGTATACCATATACAACTGTTTCAGATTAAAAGCTAAGTTATAAGCTCTCTATTAATACGTTTTTTGACCCACATATTTTTGTCTAGTTATTATAATAAGAAAATTCTAAAAATTAAAAAAAAAGTTTTTTGAAACACACATTTATACTTATTTTCCATTTTCATCAGTTTTAGTAGATGTTTATTTAGCACCCTATTGCCCTATGTGAATAAAAGTCTGGAAGACACTTGCTTCTGGAAAGCCATTCTACCAGTGATTTTTGGTATCATCTGCGCTTTTGTGACGAAATGATAACATATATATGATACTGAGCCAATTTTCTGCAGGAACTTAAGAAAACCAATATGTTTCATTCGTTTAAAAAAAACAATCGAAAAGCTACAATTATCGTGTCTGTGCAACTAAAAAATTTCAATTTAAAAATATTTAAAAGAAAAACTACACAATAATAACAATAATGTTATTACTTATATGAGCTCATGTCCGTTTCGAAACAAAATTGAGTTAAATATGTATTATAAGAAAATAGATATTTGAAGTATATATATTCTTCTTACATAAGAAACAAAAAGGTAGAAGCAAAATTAATTAAAAATTTAGTAGATTTTTCCATTCACGAATGAGTGGATTTTTTATAAAAAAAAAAAATACGCATAATAAGATAATCCACACAAATTCACAAAAAGACAATGCCCTCGATGGAAAAATGTGAAACTTCTAGTAAATATCTTTCATGGGAAAACTGCCCGAAGGATACTCAAAACTCAAACTGGTGGTAATAGTTCAGTATATATTTTACTTTTGTCATTTTCACTTTTTAAGAAATTTTTAAGAAATGCTTAAGCTCACGAATAATGCAGTGGTCTAACCATTAAGGTACATTTTTAGAGCACTCCAACTCCATGTAATCTATATTAAAGAGTCTTCCAAGTCTTTTTACTTTTCATGTTTCATATCACATTTTCTAAATTATTTTCAATGGCTGAAAATGAAAATATTTATTTTTTAGGCACTTAACAGTTTCAACTTTACTATTTTGCACAGTTCATGAACAAGGCTTAAAGTTTATCAATATATATGTTTTGGAAAGAAGTCCTTTATTTTTCGCTTTCGCTCACCTTAATTTCTTATGCTCCTTACAGTTTTTTGATTAGAAATAATATTTGTTTTATTTTCTCGTAGTCCTTTTGTTTTGTAAAATTCTCATTTAAGAATTCTACAAAAGGTATTCAATTAAATCTTCAATTCTGCCCACACAAAGTTCTTATTATTTTGTTATCTCCTTATTTCTTTATTAATTTTCAAATGGCTTTGTTTTAAACAATAAGTTTAATTTTGCATTTTTTTCTCTATTCTTGTATTTCGTTAAACACACCGCACCTTTTTTTTTTTGGTTGTTCTGAAGTCTTGCTGCACGCGCAAGGATAATGCGATCAAACGCGACGTACACGTCACTAAAAAAAAGCTCAAGTTAAACGCCGCTAATATGCCCGGGCGCACTATTGATGGTCGTGGTCGTTGTCGTTACCGCCGATGATCAATGCGTTCGTTGTTGACTGTATGAAGTCGGTAGACAAACAGTTTGCCTAGAAATAATTACACCGAATTTTAAAGACAATTCAAATGTGCTGTCTTTTAATGTTTCGCATGCCTCAGCCAAACGCCAATGTATTGGCATTCTCGTATACGTACACTCGTATGTGCTCGGATGTGTGTGTGGGAGCGTAGAATTTGTACTTCTGCTTGCCGCTATGCGTTCCAAAATAGCTAATTGTTAGTTTGAAACGCTCTGCTATTGTTGCTCGTCAAACGCTTTTGTTTGTATGTGTGTGTGTGTGTGTGTGTATGAGTTATGCTTATAGACATACTATATGTATGTCATCGCCGCCTCTAGCATTTCGTCAGGTGCTCACAGTAGTGTTCGTGGCGCTGCCGCTGCTGCTTAGTCTGTCGGCAGCCGATCGCTTAGGTTAGAGGGTTAGCCGCCTCGTTATGTCAGCTTGCATTATTTTTGCTATTAGTGCAGCAATTGCATGACTTTATTGGTTCGATGAAGATCGCGTTGAATAATGGTGCGCTCAACTTCTTAAGGGGAGACTTTGTACGGTCAAGTTGATCACGTTCAGTTGTATGTATCTCGTTATAGTCTAAGATGCGAAAAATTCTATGTGATTGCTTACTAATTCTTTTTTCCATTATTATGATAATATTTTGAGTGCTTATTTTATGCCAAAACCGAGTTTGTGCAGAGAACTTAGAACATTTACGTTCTGTGGTTTGAGTAGCGATAGTGCGCTGAAAACAAATTGGTGCAATCGGTAGTTTAATTAGCAATTATATTCTTTACTTAGAAAATTATGTTGTTTGGAACTTCTAAGAAATTTATAAACGTATATGTACATAAATATAGACTACATTAGTTAATTTTCGGAGGGAACTTTCCAAACAGATTTTTTAAAAGGATACAAACTTCCTTAATCCAATTTTAAAATCGTTAGTCTGTAGGGTCTTCGCTTATTGTGATCGAGAAACTGCACTAAGGAAATATTATTCAATAAAAGTGTTCCGTGGTGACGTCGCAGGCCATTACAAGACAATTTGCTTAGACAATTAATGACTACGCATCGGCCGAGGATGAAGAGCCGACTATTACTAATACTCTCTACATTCCAAGTATACTGACAGTTGATATATTCTTATGCCCAGATGGAAGTTTTTCCCAAGTTCTAGCGAATTTGTGAAAAGGAACTATAAACTTAAAATTTTTGGTTCTTATAATATAAGTGAAATGATATAATACAATATTATAGCTTATGCTAATGAAAATAGTGACATCATTGTTTTGACGATGAAGTTGGTATAGAACTGTAACCGGTTTGAAAAATAAATGGATGGTTGCTAGACTGAAACTGTCAAACTATGTTGTAGAAAATTTTGACAATTGATTAGCTCCTCTTACTAAATAATGTATTCTTTTCATATCATTAGAAAATTTGTTTGAATGTTAGTATATAATTACGGGGTTCACTTTGAATATTTATACCCTGAACGAGGTTTAATAAGTTTGCTACGAAGTTGGCAACACCCAGAAGGAAGCGTCGCAGGCCCTATAAAATATAATGATAAATCAGCGGGACAAACTAAATCGATTTAAGGCAGGTTTGAACGAATCAAAACAAAAATATTTCATAGCTCTTATTTTGCCAAAATTTTCCAACCTCATTTACTGAAATAGACCAATTAGACTAACCTCACCTGAAATCTGAAAGAGCCTCTCGAGTACAATTATTTCCATATCCTTCCTTTGACTTTTACTCATATTAATTTTACGAGGAACCTATAAATCTGTATGCTATATACCTTACAATCATTATGCGGTTTAAGATTCATCAATTGTCTTTTAGCACCAGTAGCTGATCCAAATCAACGTAATAAATCCTTAGTAATTAAAGACATGGAAGAAATCTGGTTTATATTACAGAATTTCAATATATTTCGACGAACTCTTTGCTTGGATGTAACTTCGTATCCGTTCCGATTACGAAGATTCGACTCACATGGAAAAAATCCGTTGCTTCAAATACAACGGTTGGTCTTTCCGAACTCTGCTACAATATTATAGTAAACCTCTCTCAATAATATACCCATATTCGTCTGTCAGTCTGAGGAAGCCCAATATTGTTCAGATCTTAGAATTTATCTGTATTGATCCAAATAAAAGATGGGTTTGAACTTTGGTATTTAAAAAAACTGACGGTATTGCCAATTAGGTGTTAGTGGGGTATAGAAAACATAGTAATTATGAAATCCTTTCTCGTCATTTCAATTACCCCGAAATGAAACAGCGTCTGCCGTCTAAAGATGGATTTTGTATCGCTTAGTGGGATTTAACCGTTATGTAACATTTAGCATTCCGTAAACCCCTATATTTGTATATGAGATACAAAGTTACGTAAAAAACAAGCAAGGAAGTGATAAGTTCGGGTGTAACCAAACATTTCATACTCTTGCAACTTGCAAGGAACAAAGGCGGAGGAATACCTTCTGGTTTTGGAAGGAAGACATCGTCGTGATTTCATTCATTTTGGCAAAAGAGGGTACACTGTTATTAGAAAGAGATTCTTTTGGAATTTCATTAAGATTTCTTACATATTGACCGATAGATGGGATATAAAATGAAATTGGGGTTCGAAAAAATGTATGTTAGATATGTATATGAGGGCTAAGAGAAGTGTTGACCTGCTTTTACTTATTTTTGGCACAAGTTATAGTGCGAGATCGTAAATTTTTAGGTGACACAAACAACCATTAGGTGAACAAAACTATTATACTCCGTAGCAACATGTTGCAAGTGTATAATTACGTATACGAATTATATGTTGTACGATAATATGGAAGGTTGTGTGTTTGTTTGTGAATATGAAGTTCAAATGTTAAAGGAATAATAATAAAAGAAGTAACAAATATTTACATATATTTCGTTAATTGTGGCTTTAGGTTAACTGGTCAAACCAAAACGTCTGCTAATATTTGGCATAAAAAATCACAACAAGTTCTCAGCTAAAACTTTAATTAATTTGCATTTCGGAAACAATAAAATGTATTTGTTATTTTTTAATTTTTTTTTTCAAATCTTTTTGCTATAACCGAGGGTGAAAAAACGTAAAAGAGACAAAAAATACAGAAAAAGGAGAAATAAAAAAATTTAACCAAGAAGGTGAAAAATTAAGTGCAGAGATGCGTGTTTGCATGTGTGTGTGTGTGTGTGTGTGTCTAAATGTGCGAAAGAATGTCAGGGATAAAATGTGAGCACACAAGCCAAAGCGGCGAGTATCAACAAACCAAATACTATGAGTGTACATATGTAGATATGTTTGTATGTTTATGCGCATTTATGTTGTGTTTGCACTGCGAAAAAGCATCGCTGGCTTGGTGCTGGGAATAGCCAATATGTTGGTAAATATTTTCAAACTGTTACAGTTCTAAAAGTTAACACTTAATTGCTTTCGCGGCTCATTTAATTGCTGCGTTAAACAGGCTGTTTGTCTATTTGCAGTGTACTTATGTATGTATATAGATAGATAGATATATATGTGTATGTTTGACGATGAATGGTGTGCTTTTTATGCATACATATTTATGTACACTAAGTTGTTGCAATTGATAAGACGCCACAAGCGCACATGTGTCACATGCAACATACATACAGACACACACACACAAATAATATATGTATGCACAAACACCTGTATGTAAAATGTCAATATTGCCGAAGTGTTGTTTCCATGGATCAAGTACTTGTCGTTAAGCTGTTGTACTTGCCTAGTGAGGCCCTAACTATGGTCAATTGTTTAATAGCTTTACAGTTTGTATGTGTGGATGTGTGTATGCGCGTATGTGTCTCTGACCAACACGCCTTTGTTGCAGTGCTAAGAGTGATATGAACAAAAATTAACTTTATGACAAAGAAAATTTGTCAAAATTGCAGACATTTTTACACATTTGAATGGCATGGAAAAAGCTCCCAAGTCACAAATTTTGATAAATACTAGGTCGTAAACTTCGCGAAAATTTTTAGTAGGGAAAACATACGTACGTATGTGTGGTGCCGAACACTCGTAAAAAACAATCAAAAGGACCTTGGGAACTCCTTGCACGATCATGATTACATACATATTTGTATGTAAGTAATTTTGTACTTCATATTGCACTTCTGCCATAAATTACGCAAAAAGAGTTGCCAGACTCGCAAAAGTTAATCATACTTGTAGGTTTGAACGAATACACAAAAATTATTTGCACTTCTCCGACCTGAAGAAAAATCAGCCTAACCTAACATACCTTTCCTTATAGGCGAGCTTTTCTGTAGTAATACTTTAATAAATTCAACGTAATACAATAATTCCTCAGTAATTAAAAACATGGAAAAAATCTTGTTAATATTACAAAATTCAAAAAAATTTCGACGAGCTGCCAGTCTTTACTTGGTTGTTATTTTTGTATATATAGATTTCGTTCCGATTGCGAAGATTCGACTCTCATAAAAAAACTCGTGTGCTTCTGATACAACAGTTTGTCTTTGTTTTTCAGTTTAACTTTGCTAAAATATTATGGTATTTGAAAATCTCTCACTAAGTTATAGATTTTGAGTTTGAGGAGACATCAAAAATAGTACTTTAAATTCAACTAGACCAGAGCAGATACTATTTAGAATCGTTAACAACAGCACTCGGCAAAACCGATTTCTCTTGACCGAAATTAAACAACATCGATAAAAGGCTTCTGCTGCAATACTATTTCAATGATGGACCATCGTGCTCATACAAGTCGTAGGTTTTGAGGTTATGTTAATCTCAAGTGTTGGTGACTTTCAACACTTTCGAATATTTTTCTATCGAACATTTATCATCTTTCGTTATATCAAACAATAAACAAACCATTAACAGCTATATTCATCTGTAAGAGGTGTAACCGCCTATTATTGTGTCGAATAATCCATTATACCTATATATATTGTATATTATATAATACAATATATACATATATATACAAGTATACAAGGGAGAGTTAATAAAGAACGGAGCGTAACGACCGGATCGTTTGA